GTACTTATTGTAATAAACCTTAAAAGACCTAAAATTCCCTCCGGCGGAAGCACACAACCTAAAGACCAAAAAATACATTAAGCCAAAACATTATTTTTAAGATCGATGTAATTCTTTTAGCAATAAGAATAAGTAGAAAAGTATGTAAATGTATATAATTAGAAATTGTGTAAATAACAACAAACAAAAATATAAAAAAAAAAAAAAAAAATATAATGAAATCGTATTTTTATTTATAAAAAAAACCGGGAAATTTTGGGGAGCACTTTGCTTTTTTTAGGGCAATTCGCCTATAAATCCAGAAAAACGCCCTAAATTTATGAAAATCTGCCTTTAGTTTCAGGATATTTTTTCATATTTCTAGGACACTTTGCCCTAAAATCCAGAAAAACACCCTAGATTTATGAAAATCTGCCTTTAGTTTAAAGGTATTTTTTCCGATTTCCAGGGCAATTCGCCTATAAGTCCAGAAAAAGCGCCCTGGATTTAAAGGAAACTGCCTTTAGTTTAAGGGTCTCATTTCCTATTTTTAGGGCAATTAGCTTTGAAAATAGAAAAATCGCCCTAGATCTACGAAAAATCGCCCTAAATGTGTGACAAATTCACCCGTATTTTTAGGGCAATTTGCCCTAATTTTGTTGCCTAGTCGCCATTGACCCCCGTTTTAGGGCGATTTTCCTTGTTTTTAGGGCGATTTTACCGGAAAATTTCTATGAGTGTAAAATAATTTTATTTTTTTTGTTAGTGGATAAGTTTTAATTTTGTTAATTTTTTTCCGTGGGCCACAGCAAATTCCGAAAAGAACAAAAAAATAAAAAAAAAGAAAGAAAATGCAGGAATAAGCGTAACAAAAAGGAGGTTCGAAGTGGTAGTTGTTGTTGTCCCAGATTTCTAACCTCTCTGAAAGAGAAGAAAAAAAAAAGGGGGAAAAAAAAGAAAAATTTCCATGTCCCCAAAAGAAAAATCTTAAGTATTGTGCGATTTTCCTTGTTTTTTTTTAGTTCAAATTTTCAGCCACAGGTCGTCCAGGAAAGCGCTTTCTTCGATGGATCAGCAATTTTTGGTGGTGAGTGAAAATACACACGTATTATGTAACCCAATTTTGGTAATGCGATAAAGAGAACAAACGGAAAATTAACAAGAAAAACCGGAGAAGTAAAGTAATATTTGAATAAAATCAAAAGAAAAGACAAAGTACAAGCGTAAATCGATCGAACCTCTTTTTTTCGGCGATTCCACTCAAGTTCGTTTGCATGTTCGATGGTTTTGCTCAGTCCCATTTTAAAGCTTAAAGGAATTAGTTCCATTTATTTAGTTATTTTAATTTCAATAATATTTATAAGCATTGCCATTTACTGAAATGTTTTATTTATTATAATATGTTCCTTTTTATATTATTGTATTTTTTTAACATGTATGTTGTGTGGTTAGGTCAGATTTTATATTTTATTTAGCGAGTAAATAAATTATTATAATGTTCTAAAAGAACCCTGTATTGACCCAAGCGAACATGGCCGTCTGATACCCCTGAACAAAGGGGCTACTATTTACTAAAGGAATGCTAAACCAGGATTATGGTAGCCACAGGTTGGGTGGGCAAACCAGGCCTAAAACAAGAGAGAACGCTATAGTCCGGTTTGTTTTCCCGACTATCTAATACCCGTCACTCACCTAAAGGGAGTGCGAACGCTGTACTGGATAGTGCGAGGGAGATAGATATATAAATTTTGATTGCGTATAACTTTTTAATGAATGGTCCGATTTGAAAAATGTCTTCTACATTTCGATAGGTATAAATATACACAACAAATTTGCTCTTATACTTCTAGGAAATCTTTAAAGTTGTGGGCGCAGGACCCATTTTAAAATCGTTAGTGGGCGATTGTGGGCGTTAGAGGGGGCGTGGCGCTCGGCTAAAATAAACTTGCGCTGCGTAGGAAGCCAAAGAATATGTGTGGGAAATCTCAACCTTCTAGCTTTTGTAGTCAAGCAAAGATCTAGAAAAAACAATAATAATAATTTAAATAACACAATAAAAAAATAAAAAAAAAGAAATGTAAATGAATACAATGAAATAAATAAATTTAAAGAAATGAATAGAAAGTACAATCATTTGTATTTATACCCGTTACTCGTAGAGTAAAAGGGTATACTAGATTCGTGCAAAAGTATGTAACAGCTAGAAGGAAGCGTTTCCGACCCCATAAAGTATATATATTCTTGATCAGGGTAACTAGCCGAGTCGATCTAGCCATGTCCGTCTGTCCGTCTGTCCGTCTGTCCGTCTGTATGAACGCTGAGATCTCAGAAACTACAAAAGCTAGAAGGTTGAGATTTCCCACACATATTCTTTGGCTTCCTACGCAGCGCAAGTTTATTTTAGCCGAGCGCCACGCCCCCTCTAACGCCCACAATCGCCCACTAACGATTTTAAAATGGGTCCTGCGCCCACATCTTTAAAGATTTCCGAGAAGTATAAATGCAATTTTGTTGTGTATATTTATACCTATCGAAATGTAGAAGACATTTTTCAAATCGGACCATTCATTAAAAAGTTATACGCTTTATAAATTGTCAACAAATATCTATCTCCCTCGCACTCCCATTAGCTGAGTTACGATTATTAGTCGGGACACCAACCCGACACAGCGTTCGCACTCCCTTTAGCTGAGTGACGGGTATTAGATAGTCGGGACACCAACCCGACTATAGCGTTCTCTCTTGTTTTTTTTTAAATAAAACTGCTGATGACATTTTGGAAAAAGTCACTCGTGAAATCATGCGTGACATGTCACAGGGTGGTGACGTCTCATATGACCAATTCGTATAAGGCAGTGGTGATATCACGAGTGACTTCGAAAAAATGGCATTGAAGCTATCACTATGGTACGGGGTAGGAACTCTCGAACAAAAGTCTCTAGGGAAAATCACGAGTGCGTCACGAGTGTCAAATGACCTGTCACGAGTGATTCACCCGGTGATTCACGAGTGAAAACTAATTTCTGGAACTGAACTACTGCAAGGGCTCATTACATTGCAAGTTCCTTGTGATGGAGCATTATAGGTCGGACCACGGAGGAGATCTTGCTTTGTATGCAAAGCACGCTTTCCAAACCAATATGGGCTGGCCCGCCACATCAGGCAGCACAAGGATGCGTGCAACCGGGGTCCGGGGTTGCTCGTGTGCAATGTGTGCTGCTTTTCCTTTTTTTTTTGCTTCCATTTTAACAACGAATGGTGAAAATTATAATACATATAACTTAACTTAACCTAAAAGTGAATCCACGCCGCTACCCGGCGTAAACTATGCGTGTTTCTTCCAAGAATTGTGTGCTGCAGTGTTGCCAGATAAAAATGTTGCTTTTCGCCTAAAAAATCTCAAACAGTCGATATTTTTCCCCTAAAAAATTCAGTGAACTCTTTGGCGAAACTCTTACTTCTTTGTGAAACTCTTTCCATTTTCTTACTCTTACGCTCGCTCTGCCTCTCCCGCTCAGACCTTGATTGCACTTCACGTTGTTTCGTTACGTTTTGATTGCACTTTACTTTGTTTCGTTACGTTTTGATTGCACTTCACGTTGTTTTGTTTGAATGTTGCCGCGCAAAAAGTTCCGGTCGTTGCCAGATCGGCAACCGATTTCCGACAAGAAGTATCGCTTTACAAGCGTTGCCATACCTACAAAAATTGAATAATAATATTTTTAATCAGGAATCTACAGTAGATGGCGCTAATGTGGACATTTCTCAATTTAACGCTAGGTGGCGAAAACAAAATTGTCAATATGTGTCGCCACTGAGGAGTGAACTTTTTTGACGCCAGATGCCGCTAAATTCAGTACATATCTAAAAGTTTGCGGTTTGAGAATGTTTTCGTTTAATTATTTAAATTTAAAATAATTAAATAGAAACAAAGTATTCAATTCAAAATTCAAATTAATTTAAATCCAATTATTTGTAAAACATTTTAAAAAAATTCAAATTGATTTAAATTTTATTTACAAATAAGTCAAAAAGTCTTAAATATTAACTAAAATTCAATTTCATTTAATTTAATTATTTAAAAAAACATTTAACAAAATACCTAAAATTTTTATTATTTATAGTATTGTGAGTCTAATTTGGGACAATGCCGATGTTTATTTTGACTCTCGTAATTGTTTAAACTAGCGAATTTGTTATAATGTTCATTATTCAAGTATTTAAAAGGAGGGGGGGGTCGATTTCGAGGTCAGCCAATGTAACGGGGAGAACGTATTTCATAAACCATTTAAGCAATATTGCCAAAAAACATACCTTGAAATCACGTTGACCTCCGCATTGCAGAAAATAATCTCAGTGCCTGAGGGAGTACTCCAGGTTTTGAAATTAAAAGCAGTTACATTTAAAAATATGTATGTATTTTTATGGCAACTCAAAGAGAAGCCTACTTGATTTTTATAGCAAGCCCCGAAACTGTAAAATTCTATTAAAAGAGACCTGTAAAACACATTACAGTTTGATATCGGCATGCCATAGTAATTCGCTATTTGCTAAATAAAATTATTTTATATATTTTTCAACTTCGATAGGGAAAAAACTTAGTTGTACTTTTTTTATATTTTCTTTAAAAGTTTTTTTTACCATTTTTTCTTGGTATTTAACAATTTTTAGCTGCGTCTTTTTCTCATCTTTAAGAATATAAGTCAAATATATTTTTCATATTTTTAAAATTCTACTGCAAAACCGAATAGAATTTACCAAACTTTAAAACTATTGTCAACTCTGATATTGCGAAAATGAAGCAAGCGAAAGGCGAAAAATGTGTACAAAAACAAACAGCGGCAGCACGTGTGCGTGACTCTCAGTGCGGCGGCTTTCTAAGATGGTTGTTGTTTTGCCGAGCAACGAGTCCTGTCGGCTTCGCTCGAGCGGCCCGACTACGTATATCCTGGCCTCGGCTTGGGGCTTGGACCCCTGCGACGATGATGACATGCGGATAGAGCAAATCCAACACGAACGGCTGCTGGACGTGTTTGCTGTGAGCTGCGAGCGAATTGAATTGAATCGAAACGAAACGTTAAGAGAACGGAGCACAAGCCAGAAAATATAGGGATAGGCGACGAGGAGACAGACAGGAAAACAAAGGAGCCACGGGAAAACAGCAAATATAATTAATATTACTCGGCCGTGTTAGTGTTGCGAATGCGAATATTGCCGAAAATTTCCATTAGTGATTGCCCCGTCGCTTGAGTGCGTGCAGAGAAAAGTAGGTTACGGCGGAAAGGACTTTGAGGTCGGACGGTCGGTGGCTCGTGGAAAACGCTCACCACATTTTCCGTGTGCATGTGTGTAGGCCGCTGGGTGCCGAGAAAATGCAGTGCGAGTGCCACAAAGGCGACAAAGGCAAAGTGCAAATGGCTTGATAGAAAATAGCAAATGAACGAGCCAGCCCATTTCCCAAATACTTCGATTCATACTCTCCAGCCGACAAGGGAAAAGTGATATTTTTACAACTGTGGCCTGCTTTTTGCACAGTCCAAATAAAACCACACAGACACACACACACCGACAGACACACAGACAGACAGACAGGGGGGAAACAAGCGGAACCCACACAAACACACACGACAACTATATAGCAATATATGCCCATTGAGTGCCTTATATCATTTGATAATAATCCACAAGGTGTCTACTATGCCGGACAGGAGCTATCCGGCGTTGTTGATCTCAGCGTCGACGCCACAAAGCGTATTAAAGGTGAGCCCTCGCCCTCGAATGTATACTACGAAAATGCCGCCCATGAGTCACGGGGCGTATGAGTGATGCGGTCACTTGGCATTTCGGTGCATTTAAATGCACGAAGGACACCAGCTAATGGCAATATTAAAATGTATCTCCCCCCGGACAACATTTTGAACGTGCTCTGCTATTAATCGTGCACTCCGCTCCCCCTCCCCCAAAAATATGTGACTGTTGTGACTGTCACAGTGGAATATTCTGCAGTTGTTGTGCTGCTCTTGGCATTCCGCCATTTTCATTTATCCATGAACTCGTTAGAGGCGTGGTTATTTGTTTTTTTTTTGTGGAAATAGACATTACATTAGGAAAGTAGTCGCCTTGTCTTTTTTCGGATAAAAGATGATAAAAGAAGAATACTCAAAGAAATCAAGTTTAGAAAATGTTCGGATCGGAACATTACAATTGAGTAAATTTGGAATAATTTTTTTGATTTTTAATTATTTAGCTTTCAACTCTTATATTTTTGTATTTCTACAATAAATAACACAGGCCGACAAAATGTGACATGGGTCGATGTCCAGGCCTGCCACCATTTTATTTCGATAAATGAGGCTTTTCTAAGCATAAGTTGCCACTACGCCTATAGTCCATCAGCTCTGGTATTTGCGGTATCTTTAATTTAAGAAAATCACAAAATTTCTTCGGCTTTTGGGATATATCTTCAATAGTGGTCAACCAATTTTTGTAATCTTTTCGGAATTAAATAGTAACATGTCCCTTTTATACGGTCGTTTTGGAAAATGTAATCTAACTCAACCACAAGAGGAGGTGGGCGCATTCAAAATTTTAAAGTCACAGCAAAGTTTAAAAATCTTCATTTGTGAACAGCGTTTAAAAAATTAAATAAAAATATTTTCTTCTACGATGCATTTTTGATCCAAAGACACCATATGTCCTTAATTTTTAGGACACTCATCAGGTTTTTGTGAATTGTTTTGGAATTTTTAAAATTGTTTTTCTTCCTTCCTTCACAGTGACGATTCACAAACAGTGCCCAAACCTGTCACAATTTTAAATATCATAATTCTAAACGATCTAAGTAGTTTTGCTTTGAGTATAAGCACATGAGCGTAGCCTACTAATCTTTGGGGGCTGAAATGCTTGAAGTGTAATCCCCCTCCAGCTTTTAACTTACGCCCATGTATAAATATTTTTAAAGCAAGGGTCACTTGTGCTCAAAAATAGTTATGCGTTACGTAATAGAGCCCTGCACGAGTATACTCGTAGAGCCCTTTTTCTCCCATTTCAAAAAACAGCTCGAGTAAATCAGCTCACAAAAATTTTCAAATCGAATAGCTCAGCTCCTAAATTTTTACAATGAGCTACTCGACTCGTTCGAAAACAAAGGGCTCATGGAATCATAAGCTCATGGAATCATGGGCTCGAGTAGCTCAGTTTTTCGACCGGAGCTAAAAAAACCTTTTATTTTTTATTATGCTTTAATTTGGATGAAGGATTTTTAGGCTTTTTATGCAACGGCAATATCTTAGGATCAACTCGATTTAATATGTTGTTCTCTTCAACAATTATCTTTGTTAAAAATTAAAAAGTAATGAAACGTTTCTCCGCCCAAGAATCGCTAAAAATAAATAGCTACCCTCGATGGACCGCAATTTTATTTAAACAGTTTGCCAAAAAAAATTGCTTGTTGACCATAGTTTTCTTGTAACCGTCTCTTCTTTTTGTTGATTCTTAAGAAATCGCGGTCCACCGAGGATAATTATTTTGCTGCTTCTTCTAGTGAATAATAAAACGTTTCTCCCCCTAAGAATCGGTCCCTCTATGGACCGCGATTTCTTAAGAGTTTGCTAAAAAAAAGTCCTGGCGGTCGCCCTTGATTCTCTTATAATCGTTTTCTCTTTTTGTAAATAAAATGGAAATGACATTAAGCCCTTGGAGCTATTTCTGTTCGAATACCGTGAGCTGTTTGTTCGGTTTGTTTTTTTGACATGAGCTATTCGAGCCAAACTGTTTGAAAGGGCTCTTGGAATCATAGGCTCATGGGAGGAGCTCTTACTCGATGATTCTATGATCCCATGACCTATGATTCCAAAGTCACAAACAAACAACTCAAGCTCAAGCTCAGAGCTGTTTTAAACTCTAATCGTGCAGGGCTCTATTACGTAAAATAGTGACAGGTTCGGGCACTGTTTGTGAATCGTCACTGTGAAGGAAGGAAGAAAAACAATTTTAAAAATTCCAAAACAATTCACAAAAACCTGATGAGTGTCCTAAAAATTATGGACATAAGGTGTCTTTGGATCAAAAATGCATCGTAGAAGAAAATATTTTTATTTAATTTTTAAACGCTGTTCACATATGAAGATTTTTAAACTTTGCTGTGACTTTGAAATTTTGAATGCGCCCACCATCTCTTGTGGTTCAGTTAGATTTAATTTTCCAAAACGACCGTATAAAAGAGACGTGTAACTATTTAATTCCGAAAAGATTACCAAAATTGGTTGACCACTCTTGAAGATATATCCCAAAAGACGAAGAAAATTTGTGATTTTCTTTAATTAAAGATACCGCAAATACCAGAGCTGATGGACTATAGGCCTAGTGGCAACTTATGCTTAGAAAAGCCAAATTTATCGAAATAAAATGGTGGCAGGCCTGGACACCGACCCGTGTCACATTTTGTCGGCCTGTGTAATCATTTCATATTTTAGCCATAAAACGGCATCCAACGGTATAATATAGAAAACATTATGTTAATTTAATTCTGACACATTTTAAGCCTTGATTTAAATTATTACCATAATAATATTATTATTTAGAAATACTTATCAATGCCAATAATGTTAAAATAATATATCAATCTGATGCTAAAATATGAATTCTTCCATAAGGAAAATTATAAAATACTCAGAAAAAATAATAGGAGCGCTATTTTACTATTAGTGTTGAGTGCATGACCTGTTTGCGGCGATGACTCGCTGACCGGCGCGCCGGTTGCAACTTGCAATTTAATTTGGCAATCTCTAGTCATGGAACCCTTGCAGGCATCCACGTCACCGTCAGCGGCTATGCCAAGATACGCTGGATAAAAAAGGGATATCCGCGCGAGAGCGAGCGCGCCATGTGCCGTGCCTACCGATCGTACCTGTCCTCGCGGTCCTACGTCCTGGGATCCTGCGCGAACAACTCGAGCATCGACTGGCAGGCCGGCGAGTACTCGTACACATTCCACGTCATTCTGCCCGACAATCTGCCCACGTCCTTCGACGGCAAGTATGGCCAGATCCACTACGAGATCATAACGACCATCGAGCGGGCCGGGCGTTACCCAAAGGTCTTCAAGCTGCCATTCACCGTGATACAACCGCTGGACTTGAACGCCGATGCGATTTACAGGGTAAGTCTTTTCAAGTCTTTTAAAAATTTAATAAAAGTATACTATTTAATCTAAGGTTTTCTTTCTGAACTAGACCCACTTGCTTGTCCAGAACTTTATTAACTCTTTATTTTTCCTAGGTTCCACTGGAGATCCTCGATCGGAAGCGCTTCTGGAGTTTCTGCTGTCCCACGGGTCCGCTGACGGTGAAGTTCTCGACGCCGTACTGCGGATATGCGCCCGGCCAGAAGATCCACTTTGTGCTGTACATCAACAACGAGTCCTCGATCGACATCACCGAGTGCGAGGTCAAGTTAAAGCAGGAGGTGAGCTACGAGTCGCACGATCCGCAGCACGAGTACCGCTATGACAAGCACCTGATCGCCCGGAAGCAGTTCGGAAACGTGCTGAGATGGTCGAGGAAGGTGTATCGGGGGTACCTGGATCTGCCCTCCATACCGCCCACTTCAGTGAAGCCCACGTGCCCCATTAGCGTTAACTATTCGATTAAGATCATCGTGAATCCCACGGAGTTCCACTGGAAGCTTAAGCTGAAGATCCCGCTGACCATCGGCAGTATTCCGATAATGGATGGCCCGGAGGCCCTGCTGCGATTCAATCGCCAGCAGCAACAGCACCAAGTAGTTAGTCAAAATTTACAATTGTCCACGCAGCAGCGGCAGCGTCAAAGGGATCGTGACCGCGACAGGGATAGGGATAGGGATCTGAATCTGGATCGAGATAGAGATCGGGATAGGGACCGGACAAGTGCCTCAATTCAGCAGCGACGTCTAAGCAACATCAACAACAACAATCATGGACGCCTCGTGGGTGGACTACTGCCGACCAATAGCAATATGAATATGATAGTGAATGCCAGTCCCACGCCCACGAGCTCCACGCCCTCATCAACGCCAACAACTGCCGCCCTCAGGCCCACGGCAATGCCAGCGATATTGGTGACCAGCGATAGCGATAATCCCCCGGACTACATACCGATGAGTAAGATTCTGAGTATTCGTTATAAATGCCCTCGCAGATGCAATCTTAACTTAACTGATAGCTGAATCAGAACTGCGACCTAATTTCTTAAAAATTAATATCATTAAACCAGTTACTCGTAGAGTAAAAGGGTATATTGCATTCGTGCAAAAGTATGTAAAAGCTAGAAGGAAGCGTTTCCGACCCCATAAAGTATATATATTCTTGATCAGGGTCACTAGCCGAGTCGATCTAGCCATGTCCGTCCGTCTGTCTGTTTGTCTGTCTGTCCGTCTGTCTGTCCGTATGAACGCTGAGATCTCGGAAACTACAAAAGCTAGAAGGTTAAGATTTTCCACACATATTCTTGGGCCTCCTACGCAGCGCAAGTTTATTTCAGCCGAGCGCCACGCCCCCTCTAATGCCCACAATCGCCCACTAACGATTTTAAAATGTGTCCTGCGCCCACATCTTTAAAGATTTCGGAGAAGTATAAATGCAATTCTGTTATGTATAGTTATACCTATCGAAATGTAGAACACATTTTTTAAATCGGACCATTTATTAAAAAGTTATACGCAATCAAAAAAACGTTATATATCTTTCTCACTCGCACTCCCTTTAGCTAAGGTTCGAATATTAGATAGTCGGGACAACAACCCGAGCACAGCGTTCGCACTCCCTTTAGCTGAGTGACGGGTATTAGGTAGTCGGGACACCAACCCTACTACAGCGTTCTCTCTGGTTTTTAATTTATTACATTTCTACTTAAACTTCCTTATTTTTCAGTGCCGCCCTCGTACGAAGATGCCATGGCTCTGAGTGAGAAATTCAGCGATGATACTGAGTTCTTGACCAACGTTAGCATGAGCAGCATTTTGTCCGCTCAAGCTGATGTTACTACAAGTGAGCCCTTTAAGCCGCGTTATCCGGTCTATTACGATTATGAGACACCGACCATACCGCCCGGTAGTGATGATTCTAATGAATCCGACACATAAAATCCCATCCAATACAAAAATACCAAAAATTGTTTACCAAAAAAGCAAAAGAAAAAAAAAACACGAAAAATGAACAAATCAATTGAATGGCTGAGTGGCTTTTTCTATATATTCTTATTTTATTCCTTTACTTAAAAGTAGTTAGAGCATTGTTCTTAAATGTCTTGTATTCTGTTAAAGTAATGAGATTAAAATTGAAAAGAATTATCCATCCAAGTTTGTCCGCTTACATGTGCAAGGTTTATAGTCAATGTTATGATTGTCCTCGTCTGATCAAAATAATTCAAGATCCTTTGCAGAATATAGTCCGAGTTCGTAACCTTTAATATTTCCTCTGATCTGTACGTCCGATTTCACTTAAACTTCTTTCAATTAAATCTTATAACTTACCTAACATTAAAATTTTTAAATATCATATTACATTTTATTCCTATTATATAAAACTGTATATCTATAAAATTGCACGTTTAATTATATTTACACGTTATATAGAAGTATCGACGAATTTTTCTCTAAGTTTAGTTAATACAAATTGTTTAATTCGTAAAATTTTAATTATTCAAATACCCTCCATAAGCATATCTGGATTCATTTAAATTCTATTTACCTATTATGAAAGTTAATTAATTATTACAAACATTTGAACTTAATATAAAATATTTGTATACGTCTGAACCAAATACCTTTATAAATTTGAAATTATATTACAAAGAATAGATGCTTTATTAGAGCGTCTCTTAAATTTTAAGACAAATACATTAACCAAATACCGTTTAAGAGCATTATACATTTTCAAAGCTTTATCTTGACTATTTCTACTTTTCTAATATGCATTTCTCTGTTAATTAGACGTAAGCCGGAAAGAAACATTTTCAAAATGTTCTTAACTTGTAAATTTGTTCTCTTGTTACCGCCCCAAAACATGCTACATTTTGTACCGTCCATTCACGACCCCCACCACCTTCTTCCTTCGAAATTCGAAAACCCCAGAGAGGCTTTACGATGAGTCCAGTTCCCAGCTGCGGCTCACACTCAGCTGTCAGGACTCGGCACCACCGGGAGCGGAAATGGATGAGGAGGTAACTACGAATACACCCGGAGGAGCGTCCCTCGCCTGCGAAAAAAAATGAGACGGCCTGGGATCAATCGATATGGAAAGAGCTGCATCAAATGTTATCCAATAAGGCAACCGCAACAACACTTACATATTTACTCGAAATCAAAATATTATAGAAATGGATAATTCAAACCAAGCGCTAACGTTTAGTAGTTCTTAAGTCTGAGGCGTAAATAAAAATTGGATATAGCAAATCGAACACATTTTTATAGAACCAAGCCTGAAAGGTATATATTTTGCAAAAGTATTTAAATTATCTACACTAAGATGGATTTACTTTTGAATTCATTTCAGTTTCCCCAGAGTAATGTCAATAATTTTAATTTGTATTAAATCTTTCTTCTATCAACCCTAAGCTTACTCTTAACTACTTCCTAATCCTAGTTTCGTCCTTTTTCTTCAACTATCTGATTAACTTTTTTTGATAAATATTTCAAATCGTATGCAGATTGAGTATACAATTCCATAGGGCCATAATACAGTGATCGCTGGCTACATATATACGAACAACGTAGTGAAAAGTTAGATGAAATCCTTTAGCCCTTAAGATTAAGATAAACTCCCAGAAAATCTGCACAATTTTACCCAAAGGAGAGTCGGAACTAATACGAAATTAACATTTTCCAATATTGAATATGTATTTATAAAGTATCTATGAAAAATTTACAAGCAAAGATTAGCCAAATTGTACTTAGTTCTCTATTATTTTGCATTACCTATCATATATTATATTTGTATCAGTCATCACATCATCATAACCTTTAGGTGTCTAAACGAGATATTGTCTAACTAAATATATAAAAGTGTCTTTTGCTCTAGTTTATATACAAGCGTTTAACTTTAGATTGTGTAAACCCTTTTACTATATACTTTGTACTTCCTCTGATTTTAAAGCCAGTCTAACCAGCAATCATATAAGTCTATTCCTAAGTCTTAACTGTCTTCAATTCGATTCAATCCGATTTAATAAAGCTAAACAAGCAAAATATATTATGTATACCCCAGAAGCCAAAGATGAACTGATTTAAGTGGAGGCAGGGGCCACATCCTGATAACACATCAGCTACAGTTTGTAATCAGAAACGAATCTCAGCCGGCTAAGCTGAGCAATAAACTGAATTTATATCTTTATGTCGCCACAGGCAAAACAGACTTCGGGCCAAATTAGTACTAAAACAGCAGCCATTTCTCATGTAGACGACTCGTGGGGAAAAAGTTTTTCAGACTTCCCTCAGCTTCGGCTAAAACCTCAAGTTGTCACAGTCACTTGTTCGTCGTCCGTCGACGAGGTCGCAACTGGAGTCTCAGTCGCGTGAATGCGATTTATTAAAAAACTAAAATAATAATGCGATTCCGCGGCTGTTGGCCATAATTTTCCATACCTCTGAAAATGACAATAAATTGTGAATTTAATTTATCGCGTGCCGCCGCTATTTATTATACTGGCGAGCAAATTTCGGGCTCACTCACTGTGACAGTGGGCGGAAAAAAACATTTCCCATTAGAGGGTAAGTAGAAGATGCCATTAGGCAAATGAGTTGGTCTAGTGATTAGATAGGGGAGAGTTGTGCAAACAAATGGACAATCTGTTATACTGATCTCATTGTTGTTTCCCCTTTGACAGGCGTAGGTATCACACTCCATGGAGTCTCAACGGTTCACTGGCGGGAATCACTTCGCGGTCCCCCGGAAATCGAACATAATGATAGTACGGGAAGGTTCGAGTGTGCCAAGGTGGATTACAAGGGCAGCAAGGTTCACATAAATCAAACAAAGAAGTTGACTGAAGGCCTACGCCTACAACCTGGGATTTTTCGATTGGGCGAATTCCAGTTCAAACTCCCTGATAATCTGCCAGCCACCTGCAGACTTCCTTTCGGCAATGTGGAGTACTTGCTAAAGGTTGTCATTGAAAGGCGGGGCAAATATAACAAGTGCTTTCAGCAGCGACTGGTGATAAGAAAGAGTCTGGAGTTTAGTGACCTAAAGCCGCAGTTTAAGGAAACATCGAATATAGGCCTTTCACTACCCCGAAGTGTGTTTGTTCCTGGTCAAAGTGTACCCTATGAGGTTATTTCAAAAGACGGAGTTTTTAAAATCCTAACCCGCTTGTGTAAAAGAGTTAGCTATAAAAGTCAGGAACCCAATCTCAAGACCAAAACAGTTATACAAGTTTTATCGGAGTGCTCGGACCTGAAAGGAGATCTTCGACTGCCTCTGACAGCTCCTATTATGAGCCCCGTGGATCAGTTGGAACTCATACAGATCAGTTACTATATTGAGACATTTAACTACTTGGAGGCTCCGGTCAGACTGCCCATTTTTGTGGCCACAGCAGCACCGCCTGTTTACACCCCCTTCACTCAAAATAAATTTAACCCTAAATTTTAGAAAATCGCCCTAAAAATTTATTTTTTCTAAATACAAGAAAGTTATTTCTAAATCTAAGGAAATTTTTCTTAAGTCAAGAAAGTTTTTCTCAAATCTAGGAAGTTTTTCTTAATTGTAGAAAATGGTTACCATGAACTAAAATCACCCTAAAATCTAGAAAAAATTTCCTATACTTTAGAAATTATTTTCTGAAAAATAGAAAGGCAAACGAAAATAATAAAATATTTTGGCAACACCTTTTCTAAAAATTAGTGCCCTAACCCTAAAATGAAACCAACCCTAAATAATAGAAACATTTTCTAAAAAGTAGAAATTTTTTCTAAAAAATAGAAATATTTGTTTTCACATGCTCTGGCACACCAAAATGTTCAATGCCAGAACTTGTCAACTGCCGGCCGGCTGTACCCGTGGCGCAGACGGTTAAAGCACTTGGTTAGCAATCGAATCGACGCGGGTTCGAGTCCCAGAGCAAATTTTTTTACCTTTTTTTTTTAATTTTTTTTTTTTAATGTTATTTTATTTTATCTTTTTATTTATTTTTTTACTTTTTTTTATTCCTTTTTTTATTGATGGCAAGCGGTAAACTGAAAATAATTAGGTTTATATTCAGCTATTTACTATATACTACACATAATATAAATTGCGTTAGCATAAATATATACATATGTATATACGTATGTAAATAAGTAAAACGCGAATGGTCAAAATTATGCAATTAGTATTCAAATGTGTTGTCCGCTTCACCCTTTACATACAATGCTCGGTTTGCCACAACAAATTTATGTGCTACAATGGCCCAGTATGTAGGCCGTTCGCTCCTCGCGCGGGAAACCCGGGTTCGATTCTCACGACGGACAAGTAAAAATTGTAAGTTTTTTTCATGAAGATAAAATATTAACTAATCATAATTTATACATTCCCCCATTCCCCCGCAGTCACGTAGTCCACACTTACAACCACATTTGGCTTTGGTTACATAAGAAATCCAAGTGCAAATACATAATAATAAATACATAACCTTTAACATTCACAATATACAAGACACACAACGCCTGCATATGTACATAGGGAGGAGTACATAATATAAACGTATATACAAAAAAATCATGATTGAACATGTTTTTTTGTTTTGTTTTTAATTTCTATTTTTTAGGAAAATTTCCTACTTTTTAGAAATTTTTGCCCTTAAATTTAGTTAAATTACCCTAAAATTTAGAAATATGACGTCAAAAAAAATCAAAAATATAGAAAAATGTGACCCTAAAATTTAGGGCTAGCTTGTCTTGAAGACAAAAGTAGGGCGATTTCCTTGACTTTAGGGTTAATTTTATTTTGAGTGTTGGAAACCTCCCGACTTGGCTTCGTTAATATGGGTAAGCCAATATACTCTACGCTAATCATGCCGCAAGTAATTAAATATTGCTCCCCTTTCAGCCTTGAGCCAGAGCGAACTGTTTGGGCCAATTAATCAGTTTCTGGCCCACAGCTGTTCCCGAGAAATTGGCGCCTTGGCGCTGAGCAAACACTGTGAACGCATCAAGTTGCTGAAAGGCCCGAAGAGAAAACAGTCGTACGTGCAATTAGCACTGCGATACTTGTATAAGAAAGTATTACCCTGACACGCGCCGAGGTTGGAATTTCAGTGTCAAGCTTTTGATATTTTAAGAATTCAATGGAATCGAACTTGAAATGCGGTAATGGAAAGTAACCCAAACAACTGGAATTCAGGGTGTCACTATTACACTGGACAGAAAATAATGGATTAATGGCTTAGTACCAAATACCAAACTATTCATGATTTGATCCCAAAGAGTTCAAGGCTAGACATTTTTAGGAACAAAAAATGCAGATATTATAAACATAATTAGAATAATAATATTGTTGTATTTTTTACTGTAAGTACTGACTACTAAGTCCTTAGGATCTGATTTAGATTAATAATAATAAATAAAAAAGACTTATTCTTCTTGCCAATAATATTAATTTTAAGTTGACAGCTAAAGTTAAAATTACAAAAAAAAATCAATTAAGACCTTAAAAAAATAACACCAAACGAACAATTTTAAGCTGCGTTTTATATAACATATTAAAATAAGTGGTTGCAAGTATTTCCGTTTTTCTCTGTGACATCTCATTTCATGCAGCCTCATTTATTTATGGACAACCGCCGACCAACCGACGAGCTCTCATTATCGGCATTATGCATGCGGGATTAATGGAGTGAGTGCCCAAATAATTTCGAGGTCCTAATTGTGCCACGTTATGCGGCAACAAAGTGGCCAAGGGGATACAGCCAACACCCCGAAAACAAAGTGCTTGTTGTGACGCACTGCTCGATTTTGTTGACATTCTTTCGGGCGTTGTATCGGCGCTTGATATATGGTAATAACTGTAGTGTATGTAGTGGATATTGGCTCCTGACCTCGCCAGCATCCGCCCCGTTGGCTTTCGTCCCCATTTTCGTGGTGTGTTTGAGTGTGCTGGCCAAAGCCAAAGCCAAACAAAGGAAACCGAAAGGACCCACGGCCAAAAGCTGCTCCATTTCCGAACGTTTCCCGCTGAAATATTAGACCAGAAGCAGACAGTAGACGGCTACACAGACGCAAGGCGCCAGCTTATTGATTCGAACGCCCCCGAAACTCCGCTCCCCGAAAAGCGAAAGCCCGATGGCGTCGGATGCTGACAAAGAACTCGCCGTTCAGAACTCAGTGCGCGTCTGGCTGTGTGGAAGTTGGGTTGCTCCTCGGTGCTCCGTTTCGAGAGGCCCATCCAGTGGTAGCGATGAACTGGCAGTGAAGACTTGGTGAACTCAAGCCGGAAGTGAAGAAGTGAAGCCGCCATGCCCACCACCTGTGTCTTTCAGCTGGATCGCCTGAACCCGGTCTACAACAGCGGGGAATACATCAGTGGTCGCATTCTCTTACGCACGGACAAGGTGAAGCGGGTCAATGGTGGGTTGGCGATTCCTTTGAAACCCTATCCCTAGCCCACTGGGCAATACTACATGTCCTGAAATTCCCCAGCCGTATATGTGACCCTGGAGGGCGAGGCCAAGGTTCAGTGGTCGATGAGCGGCAAGAGCGAGACGGCCAATTACTCGGGCCATCAGCAATATTTACACTCCCGCACCAATGTGTTCGATAATACCCTCTTCCGGGCTGGCGTCCACGTATACGTGCTCACTCTGAGGATTCCCCCCGACTGCCCCAGCACCTGCAAGGGTCCCTACGGCTACATAGCCTACACCATCTCGCTGACCATCGACAAGCCCTGGGGCTTCGACGAGGTCTTCCGAAAGCCCATCAATGTGGTGCAAACGTTGGACCTCAACTACAACACAGAGTTTGCAGTAAGTTCAAATTGTGCTTATGCGCCATTCCAGAAAAGAAAAGCTTTTATATTGTGTTTCGGAGTGCTGTTTTAGATCTTAGAATTTTCAAAAACTACAATTATTACAGTTTAAACATAGTTATAAGAAGAAAAAGAAATACAAAACGCAAAATAAATTAGAAGGAATATCTTCAGTCCTATTAAATGAACCTGGCTATTTTGGAAACATTTCAATTGCAAGAATTCATGCGCCTATTTTTAGAAAGTTATATAGGGCTTTTAAAAAAATTCGAATTAAATCAAACAAAACCCTTTCTTGACGAGGTAAAAAAATAGTGACGATCACACCTCGACATAAACAAGTTTTGAAATCAACTTTTGTGAGGAAAAATATTTATATTCGACTACATAATTACACATTCTAAACTTGTCTTATTCCGCAATATCAATCGAAAATGTATTTATTTTTTTTAATTTTCTTGTACGAAATTCAAAATGTATTTTTTTCGGCAATTCCTTCGTACAAGCAATTGATTTTGAGATACACTAACATACAAAATTTATATCATAATTTCCTAATGATCCTATTACCAGTTATCATGTCCACCGGATGGGTACTTTTCTTTTTGAGTCTTAGACAAAAAGGAACACAAGTTAAAGAAATCATAAAAGCTAAACAAATCATTTAGAATATTAAAAAAATCATAAACAAGTTTCTGTTTTTGGAAAAAACAACCAGCAATAATTGTACTATTTCCTCATATTTTTGTTAATGATTAACAAACCAAAATTGCAGAATAAATAATAATAAAACAAATTTTTAATTATCTGAATTTAATCTAAATAGTTTTTGATCTTTAGACACTCATGTTCCTATTTCTTATAATTCATGTCATTAATACTTCCCTCCCATACCAGCTGCCTGTTAAGGATGAAAACCTGAAATATCTCTGCCATTGGCCCTGCATCTCGGGTCCCATATGCTCCACCTTGGCCTTGCCCGCCTCCGGATTCACGCCCCTGCAGGAGGTGCCCTTCCGGTTGGAGGTGGACAACCAGTCGCCACACTACGACATCATCGGCGTGGAGGTCTCCATCAAGCAGCACTTCGTCTTCCTCTCGCGGAAGCCCGTCAAGCGGAACTTCTACACGAAGACGCTGGTCAAGGAGCTGATCTCGGATCGCACTCTGCGCCTGTCCAAGCGGCAGTACGAGTCCAGCATCTGCGTGCCCATGGACACGCCCCGATCGACCCTCAATCCCAACTACATCGTCTTCCTGCACTACACGCTGCAGGTGAAGCTGAAGACGGGCTACTTCCACTACGATACGGACCTCTCAGTGCCCATCATCGTGGGAACAACCTCCCTGCAGCATCTCAGGGAATCGGTTCACACCCAGCAGCCCGTGCGGAGGACTCCCACGCCGGAGAGACAGCGACTGATCGAGCGGGTGACTCCGCGGCCGCCGCCGCTGGAGGAGGAGTCCGCCGGAGAAGCGGATGCGGCCACGGATGAGCCGCACCAGGCAATCGAGGACGATGAGCCCCCTTCGTACGACAGTTGCCGTGAGTTCTTAATGCTGGTTTACCTACAATTACTTGCATTTTAACTGTGATTCGATATCAACTGGCCAGGGTAAAACTGGAATTAGTTGGCCCCATTTCAATGAAATCAAAGTTGAAGGAGTCGTTTTAAAAATTGCATTATAAAGAGGACATGTTGTTTATGGTGGATAACATACTTACACACAAAAAAATCGATTGGTAAAATTAACCAATAACCAAAAATTGTCAATTCTACCAATCAAATAGTTACTTTCACAACAACAAATACACACAATTAGCAAAGACACACAAACAAATCAAAAACAAAATACGCGTAATTTTTTCTTTAATTACGGTACCATCCGTATAGGTCAATTTTACCAATTAAATTTTCTTTGTGTGTACGAATGAGCATTTAATGTGTTAAATTTACGTTATAAAAGTAGTTGAACAACATTTTAAATTTCTTTTATAATCACCTCAAAAGCTGTATGAGAGTCATTTTTGAAACAAACTTGAAAATTGCATATTTGTTTTTGAGCCGATGACTTTTATGAACTGTTTGTGCAGTTTCTTAAATTTTTTGTAAACAGCTGCTAAACAATTAACAATAATTTAAAAAGAGATTCATCAGTTATTTTACAATCGAAAAACACCTGTAGTCATTCTTACGTGAAGAATTGTAAAAAAAGTGCTCAGACCACATGTGAATGAAATCTTTTTGAAATATTTTATTATTACACCCGTGAAGTTCATCAAACAAAATGAAACTGACCTTCGTATGGAAGGGGTGAAGAAAGTACAAAAATGTTGAGAAGTATTTGTCTATTGTAATATAATAATAGTAGATTTGATAGAAAATTATCCTTAATTATAATTAAATATGGAAAAATTATTTATGTAAATCAGCAATTTAGAGCTAAATATTTAAACTGCTATTTCCTAATCCACTTACAGTTCCGCCCTCCTTCAGTTTTGCCACCTTGGCAGGCAGTCAGCAGACTTTGGGAAGTAACCACGCAGTTGTCCTGCAGCGCATTCACCTACCCAAGTTCCCAGGCTTCAACACCCTAATCGGGACAGCTCCAGCCCACGGAATGGAGGACTCCGGCTTGGACATGCACATGTACAGGTCCTACGGCTCCCTCAACACGGATCACACGGGCCGGAGTCTGGACACTTTCGGCTCCCTCTGCGGTCCACTGTCTGAGCATGTCGAGGAGCAGGAGACGAACGCTGGGGAGTCGGAGGTCCTGGATGTAACTGCCCAGGTGCATCGGCCAGTTCCCAGGGCCCGGGTGGCCGAGATCGAGGAGGAGCTGGAGGACGAGCACCTGTTCTAGTGGAGAAGTGTCTTATATACATACGTATTGCCATCCCAAGTAACAAGTAACTTAAGTGTTCAAGACTAAGGCTTATACAGGATTTTTAGGCCGGATCCCAGTCCGTCGTCTAGTTTTAGAGAGCAGTCATCGCGCAAATTTGTAGACTCGCGTACCATCCAAAATTGATCGAATCGAACTTATTGAGTGCCGAAATCCCTTTTTTCTAGCATACATATTTACCGCTTTTCTACATCCATCAAACATTTACGGTTTAAATATTCGACTTGATACATTTACTAATTATCCTAAGTACCAACTAATGCGTTCTTAAGTGGACAATAAATAAATGCAGTATACAAACCAATCAATTTGTTAATTGTATAGGTATAGGATAGTGGTGGGATATTTTAAAGTTATTTACTTATTAATAGAAATAATTAACGTTTTAAAGAAACTCTGGTTTGTATTATAATCAAATATGAAAATATATTTTTTTTTAAATTTTTAAAGATTTTTTTTTTGGAATACAAAAATAACACATTTTTTACTACTTTAAAAAAAGGTATTTTATGAAACACAATGGTGTTTAAAAAAGTTCACTCACCCGAAAACAGCTCATCAATGGTTATGTGATATTGGGTGTCCTTGAATCCGTCATTCACTCGGACTTTTCGCACATATGTAGGCTACACCTGCCAGTCGATGTAATGCATTTTAATTAAATTACAAATTGTTTGATAGCCGATAGCAGTTGTCGCCCGGCACTTTTCGCTGGCAGCGTCCTAGGCCAGATTAGATAGGTGCTTTGGCGATAATAACCGTGGCTGTGGTAGCATTCACACCTAGAACAACCGATAAGGCCGCGCTGAGTTCCGTTCTTAATGGGCGAGCATATTGTCAACAACTGCCAGACATCGGTTAGCAGTCGAGCAGTCAACAGAGAGCAGAGTGTCGAAAATGAGCCACCGCTGTGACATCCAGTTGGACAATCCCAGGGGGGCCTATCGGGCCGGTGAGACGGTCAATGGCCACGTCTATGTGACCCTTATGGAGCGTGCCTTAATCAAAGGTGAGTAGGGGCGTGACTCATGGGGCTATCCCGTGTAACGAGTCCATCGAGTGGCAGTGACTCACCGATCAAGATCTAGTTTATGGTTTGGCGAATTGCTGATAGCGCTTGTCGCACTAAAATCAAACTGCTTATACCTACCGCTGCGCTTATCGATCGCCAAATTTATTATTAAATTTTCATAATGAGCATTGAAAGCGATTGGTAACATATTAGCACACTTTCTGTCCCAGTAATTTAACAATGGTGCACTAAAATACAGGGACCTAATATGGTATTAACATAAAAATATTAAAAATGTTGAAGGGGGTTATTAGCTTCATAATATTACAGTAAAGGAATTTGTGAATAATTGTTAAAATATTTATTTGCATTTAATAAATGCAAATAAAAATTTTATTGTTGTGGATAATTTCTTACGTAATATGTTAATATTAAATTGAATTTAATCAGTTACTGTGGCACAAAGTATGAATCGTCCAGAATTCCTACAAATATTTTATTGTTGTGAATAGCTATACAACTTTGGATAATGCACAACATTTTTTGATAAGGGGTGCAAAATATTTTTGAATATTTCATTATTATTATTTAGATAAAAAACATTTTGTGATACAAATATTTAACCCCTGTTTATTTTAGCAATCAGCTTGGAGGCAAATGGCTATGCAACAACCGCCTGGCAGCAGCCGCAAAAGCAGAAGAAACCAAAGAAAAACGAGCCGCAAGTGCAGGTTCAGAACTTGGACTTTGATTATCGCGTGGATTATTTTGCCAAAATCGATTATTTTGTGGGCTCGGAGGCCGCACAGCCGCAGATAATGGAGGCGGGCACGTACAACTACGGTTTCCACGTGAAGCTGCCCAAGAACTGTCCGGGAAACTACGAGGGAGCCCACGGGCACATCCGGTACACACTGCAGGTGCTCATCCACAGCAGTGCAGATCGTCCGCTGGAGGTGCTGCATGTACGCCAGCTGCAGATCTTCCCCCAGAACAGTCTTAGCCAGGAGACACGGAGCAGCGAAGTGCAGATCCACGAGCAGACTCCTCGCCTGAAGTTCTGGATGAAGCCGCTGCACTTGAAGCTGCAGATTCCCAGGCAGGGTTATTCCCCAGGAGCGGGCATCTCGGTTCACGTGAAGCTGCACAATCCGGAGAGATTGCCACTGCGGGAGGTCACCTACTCCCTCGTTCAGATCAGCACCTATGTGGCCCATCTGAGGAACAAGCCGAAGCGCATGGAAACCAAGGAGGAGCGTCAAACTATCCTGAGCAGCAGCCACGACCTACACAGCCTGCCTCGTGGAGAGGTGGAGAACTTTCAGCATCTGCACATGCTGCAAGTGCCCCAAACGGCGGCAACTTTGAGTCTGGCAGGATGTGCCTGCCTGCAGCTAAATTACGAGGTGGAGGTGATGGTCAGGACCATGCAGGAGAAGCGCTTCATCGCGTGCCGGATGCCAGTAATCATTGGCAACGTGACGCCGCCTTGTCCTGGCAGACTTCTGATGCAGGAGCCGCTGGATGGCACTGCACCGGAACCCACTCCTCCCGCCGAAACAGCCCAAAAGCTGGCCCCGAACTTCAGCGTCTCCACCACCTCTCTGGGTATGTTTCTTTTCAGATCTTATTAAACTGAAGTTAAATATTTTCCTTCTTTAAATATTTTCCTAGCTTCGAATTTTCGCGAAGCCGAATTCATGGTGGCCACCAATCTGAATAAGACCAACAAACACTATTTATCCGGGGAGCAATTGGACTTCAGACCTCGCTATGTCTACTACGAAATGGATCAAACCCAATCGGAGGAAGTCAAGTCCCATTGAATGCAGCGAAGCACTAGGTTCTTTCATAAAGTCGTTTAATTTATTTTATTTATTTGTAAGCGTACACAAAATATATATATTTCATCTTTGCAAGGGGCCTGCACACCTGCCAAGCATACTTTTTAAACACAACTTTATCTAAAATCGACCCCTTGATAAAAAAATTGGTTAATAAACTTAATTTTTTTTATGAGCTATTATATTTGAAACCATTTTAAATACATTAGAAAGGGTTCGCTTTGATTCAAAATAAATGCAAAGAAAACAATGAGCACAATGTTTGATCCTTTTCTAAGGCTTTTTCTGATATTGTTAGTTTTATCTATAAGTTCCAGCCGTATGAACGTGTGCAGCGATCATTCGATTCCTCGTTAGTGGCATTTTGAGGAAGCGATAGAATAGGAGCGTTTGGTGGAAAAGAAGAACTTGGTTCCTCGGCAGGAAGTGGAGGGGCCGATGGCATGCAAAAGTTATTGTACATCGGGTAACGCGGAATAAAGTCATCGGTGCGATTGTGTTCGTCCGCATCGACGTCGTATATCTCCACCCGAAATTGGTGGCCTCTTCGAAGTCCGGATGTTCTGTGGGATTACAAAATTTAATATAATTTAATGCGAATATGTATTTAAGGAAATCTTAATAATATTAAAAATGGTAAAACTGGATACTTACTGCACTTGTCGTAGCTTTGTGGCAGATCAGCGGTAGGTCTCGCGGGAGTTTTCGATTTCTTAAGTATCAATGGAATAGTGCCAATCACAATTGGAATCGCGAAGTTTAAGTCCTCGTCGCAGCTGCCTATCTTTAGCGACAGGGTCACCCGATAGCTCACCGCTATAATATGACCTTGGGAGCGGGTTGAGGGTGGTACCGCGGGAATGGGCAGGGTACAATTGATGATCTTTTTTGATAGTCGCAGCACCTCTTCCTTCTGGCAGCTTTGACTTAGGCTGTGCTCCTTCTCTCGCGTTTTGTGACGCGGAGTTTGGGCCTGGTACGTGAAGGTCTGCCTAAGTTTCACTTTAATGCCTCCCACCTCATAGCCACTCGATTGGTTGTCGATTTCCAGGGTAAAGCGAATCTTTTGGCCAAGAGCGTAGCCGCCAAAGGGTATTGTGAGTGTCGCGAAAACCGGTCCTGATCTGCATGGCCAACAGCCGAAGTGCTTGATGTCCTCACGCATCAGGGGCATCTTTAAAATAAAGTGCGGGATCAATATCTGGGTATACGTGAAATTTTTAACGTGAAGGCTGCCCAATTAAATTTGAACAGTTTTTGACAATGCTTAATTTTGGACTTACCAGCAATTCAGGACTCATGTTGAGGTTGTAGGTTTTGTTGACTTCAAAGTCTTTTTGAAGACATTGTTGAAATGCGAATGGCGATCGATTACCAAAGAGATTTCGTAGTTAACCTTCCCGTGCTGCCCCACGACTGAGGACGGACAGTCCAGCGGCAAAAAAACTTCCTGATCCAAAAACGTTATGACGAGTCTTTACGTACGTCTGGTTGCCTCGAAAAATCCGCGTGAATTCGTGCGTGTATTTTGCAGTCGAACTATAGAGCTCCTCCCAATGAACCTTCGCCTCGCCCTCAATGATTACGTATACCTCTTAAAAATTCGTCAGAAAAAAAATTAAAATACTTTTAAAAAAATAAAATATTAAATAATATGAGTTTTAAGACTGTTAAGATTAAAATTCATAACAATTTTAAACAGGGCCCTGCAGGGGTGTGAACTGAAATAAATTGGCTTTCCGTTCGGCTAAAAGCTCAATAATGTTGGGGATCTTAGAGAACCGGCAGATTTATCCACCATTTTCATAGAACCACAGGGAATAACAAAATTTGGTAAAAGCAAGAGAGAACGCTATAGTCGAGTGCCTCGACTAGTCGGGCCCAGCGCTAGACCGATTTTAGTGTCGGGTTTGTGGGCGTGGCACTCGAATGAAGCAAAGTTGTGCTTTACAGGCACTAGTACAATCAGTGTGGAACATTTTGACCCTCTATCTATAAAAATATGGTTGGCAGAGCAACAGATTTAGTTAGTTCAAGCAAGCGCCATCAATGGGGCAAAACTTTGACTGCTTGTTTCTAATGAATGGTTTGATTTAAAAAATTTTGGGGTGCTAGATGGATATTAATAATTAAAATAAGATCTTATTTACACTTTTACAAAAACTTTTTTTAACTTTAATGGTCGTGGCCCATTTACATTCGATTTATCTCGTGTATCCGAGCACACCGTGATAATCGATGTTGATTTCAGTATTTTCGATCTCAAAAGCTAGCCAAGATTGACTCAAACTAAAAATGCTTAAATCTACATCGATGCCTTTTGCGGTTTGCGAATAAATTTTTAGATTGCGGGCTCTCGATATCGAGGTAGAATCAACCATGCTTTCATCTTGATATCAAAAAGTGAGAAGAGAAGTACTAAAATCAATAGTGGTCGGGTGTTGGCTTTTTTCATTCTCAATTCTTTTGGGTGAAGAAGTGTAGCACTATGTAGAATTTCCATACATGTCAACCTACCGTTTACGGATTTTTCCGACGTTGTTGTCAGAGTAAATTGTCCATTAATCGTTTCTCCGCTAAAGTAAATCGGTGCAGGACGGTCAAACTGAAAAAAGCACTCCGAAGGCATTTTACTGATTTTGTATAGCCAAAAACTTTTCTGTAACGTCAATGAGAATGTTTCATTTTTTGACGACCCGTATCAGTAAAACTATTTAGGACCTAGGTTATAATCAAACTGAAAAGTAAAACGAAACAAAAAAAAACGCTATAGTCGGGTTGGTGTCCCGACTATCTAATACCCGTCACTCAGCTTAAGGGAGTGCGAACGCTGCACTCGGGTTGGTGTCCCGACTAATAATCGTAACTCAGCTAAAGGGAGTGCGAGGGAGATAGATATATAATTTTTGATTGCGTATAACTTTTTAATGAATGGTCCGATTTGAAAAATGTCTTCTACATTTCGATAGGTATAAATATACACAACAAAATTGCATTTATACTTCTCGGAAATCTTTAAAGATGTGGGCGCAGGACCCATTTTAAAATCGTTAGTGGGCGATTGTGGGCATAAACATGCGCTGCGTAGGAAGCCAAAGAATATGTGTGGGAAATCTCAACCTTCTAGCTTTTGTAGTTCCTGAGATCTCAGCATTCATACAGACAAAAAGACGGACAGACGGACATGGCTAGATCGACTCGGCTAGTGCCCCTGATCAAGAATATATATACTTTATGGGGTCGGAAACGCTTCCTTCAAGCTGTTACATACTTTTGCACGAATCTAGGATACCCTTTTACTCTACGAGTAACGTGTATAAATAGCTGTCCCTTTGAGAGCAATATATTTTGTGACGTCATCACTTGCCAAAGAAGAGAGAGCTTTTGGCTTGCTCTTTTTAAAAACTAACTTGTTGAATATTTGCTTCCCGTTGTTTTTTGTTTCGGATTTTTTAATAAAAACTTGTCGATCCTATTTGGAAAAATGTATGTATGAAGAAAATTGAATAATCAATAATATTTTAAAATCATTTATATAATTTATGCTAAATTTTCGGACTCGTAACTTTCTGAAATTACGTACGTTAAAAATTGTTTGTAACTAAAAAACTGTAAATTTTGTTTTAGGGTAAGGCAAAGTTTAAGCATCTATTTAAGTATATGTAATTCGTTTGCTTATAATATCTGTTCCTACGAACATTTTTTTAAAAATTAACTGATGGATAATGTCTCTGTTTTTTTTTAATGTTTTTATTTTTTACTTTATTTACCTACGGTATGGTATTGCAACTAAAGGTTACAAACTTAAACGATAGACAAGAAAAATCTCATAGTTGTGTATAAATGGGTGATGGTTACGTCTGCATTTTTCTGTCTATGAGTGGGAGTTCCAGCCGTAGGATGACGTTGGGCGATCAGTGGAGTTGCCACCCATCAATGGGGCAGTGGCATTGTGAGGTAGCGAAAGAATGGGAACGGATTGCAAGTAAGAGGACTCCGATTCCTCAGTGGGTGGTGGTGGCGCCGATGGCATACCAAAGTTTGAGTACATAGGATAACGTGGAATAAAGTCATCTGTGCGATTGTGTTCGTCAGCATCGATGTCGATAAATCTCTCGCCAAAATTAGTTGCTTCCTCGAAAGTTGGTGGTTCTGTGGGATTAATAAAAGTAATTATAACAAATACAATATAACAGTTCTGTCCCAATTTTTTTTGTGGATATTCAAGATGGGTTGGAAACATCATTTTGATACTCACTGCAGTTGTCGTAGCTGGGTGGCAGATCTGCGGCAGCTCCCGCTGGAGTTTTAGGTGTTTCGGGTATCCACTCTGCGGCATTTAATGGATTCTCTGCACTCTGAATCAATGGAATAGTGCCAATCACAATCGGAATCGCGAAGTCTAAGTCCTTGTTGTAGATGCCCATTTTTAGCGACAGAGTCACCCGATAGCTCACTGCTATAATATGATCTTGGGAGCGGGTGGAAGGTGGTACCGCGGGAATGGGCAGGGTACAATTGATAATTTTTTTTGATAGTCGCAACACCTCTTCCTCCTGGCAGTTTTGACTTAGGCTGTGCTCCTGCTCTCGCGTTTTGTGGCGCGGAGTTTGTGCGTGGTACGTAAAGGTCTGCCTAAGTTTCACTTCGATGCCTCCCACCTCATAGCCACTCGATTGGTTGTCGATTTCCAGGGTGAAGCGAATCTTTTGGCCAGGAGCGTAGCCGCCAAAGGGTATTGTGAGTGTTGCAAGAACCGGTCCTGATCTGCATGGCCAACAGCAGATATGCTTGATGTCTTCACGCATCAGGGGCATCTTTAAAATAAAGTGCGGGATCAATATCTGGGTATACGTGAAATTTTTAACGTGAAGGCTGCCCAATTAAATTTGAACAGTTTTTAACAATGCTTAATTTTGGACTTACCAACAATTCAGGACTCATGTTTAGGTTGTAGGTTTGTAGTACCGTCAGAGACTTTTTGAAGACATTGTTGAATCGCAAATGGCGATCGATTACCAAAGAGATTTCGTAGCTAACCTTTCCGTATTGCCCCACCACTGAGGACGGACAGTCCAGCGGCAAGGGAAACCCGAAGGCGTAGGTGTGCCTACCAGCTGGAAAGCTTCCTGATCCAAAAACGTTATGACGAGTGTTAACGTACGTCTGCTTGCCTCGGAAAATCCGCGTGAGTTCCTGCTTACTTGCGGTCGAACTATAGAGCTTCTCCCAATAAACCTTCGCTTCGCCCTCGAAGATTACGTAAACCTCTTAAAATTTTGTACAGAAAAAATTAAAAACAAATTTAAAAATAAAAAAAAATCTAGTTTTTCTAATATTAAAATATTTGAGTTTTGAGACTGCTACAATTAAAATTCAAAGCAGTTTTAAACAAGGGTGTGCCTAATGTTAAAATGTATGAATTTTGAGACAGTTGCAATTAAAATTCATAACATTCATTCATCAAATAAATTGTGTTGCCGTTTGGGATGACGTTCAAAACTAAAAGCTTTTTATTTTTGGGGATCTTAGAAAACCGGCAAATTTGTCCATAATTGCCATAGAACCACAGAGAATAGTAATAATTTTTAAATAAAAAGCTTTACATTAGACGTATTTTGGGACTGAGGCAACCAAGCCGAAATCAAGGGCAAACATAATTTGTATGTGACGCGACTTCAGCACGTGCGAGAAGCTAAGCTATAGACAAGATAGTGGTAGCACAATGTAAAATTTAAATACATGTGAACCTACCGTTTACGGATTTTTCAGACGTTGTTGAGAGAGTTACCCGTCCATTGATCGTTTCTCCGCTAAAGTAAATCGGAGCAGGGCGGTCAAACTCAAAAAAGCACTCCGAAGGCATTTTACTGAATTTTGTCAATGAGAATGTTTTCTTTTTCGCCGACCCGTAACAGGAAAACTACTTGGGACCTAGGAGATAACCAAACTGAAAAATAAAACGAAAATAGCTGGCCCTTTTCAACATATTTTGTGAGCTCATCACTTCTCAATGGCAATGGAGAAATTTAGGAGAGAGCTTTGGGCTTGCTCTCTTTAAAGACTAATTTATGGAATACTTTATTTCCCGCCTTTTTGGTTTCGGATTTTCGGATGAAAGCTCTTCAAGCCTATTTGGAAAAATTTATGTTTTAAAGACAATTATTATTGTAATAATCAATAATATTTTATTTTATTTTAATATTTATAAAGCTGTAAAGGCCACTCTCTTACAATTTATTTAAGGGTTAGTCGTAAAGTCAAGTTTAAGCCTCTTTTTATGTGTATGGGCACTACCATATTGTCGCTCGGGACATTTGCACACCTTTAAAGTTGAAAAAGAATTAGAAAAAAATGGATTTTAATTTTAGTAATGGGCTTTTCTTTTCACTCTTCCCAAGCTCTATTTTGTGTAAAAATCTTGATTTTGTAACACTTTTGTTTTTTAAGATATCGTTAAAAAACTGCCTTATTCGCTCGGGACAAAAACAGAAGTAGATTTTGGGAAAGTTCATTCAACACCAGATCTTAGCGAACTCTGATGGAACATTTGTACGCGAATTTGTTTAGAATGTTGTCTAATCATGTCGCTGTAAAATGGTTTTGGGTTTACTCAAAAATTGTTTGAAGTTTTTTTTTATGCAGTTTCAAACACATTCGCTCGGGACATTTTTTCCTATCGTTTTGTAAAGTGTATTTCTTTACCTCTATCCCTCAATTGCTATCTGTTTTGCTTTTAACTTATTAGTTTAACATGTAAATGAAGTATTCAGTACAGAACAAGAGAGAACGTTATAGTCGGGTGCCCCGACTATCAGATACCCGTTACTCAGGTAAAGGCGTGCAAAAGAAAAGGAGATAGAGATAAAAAAACGTTGATCAAGCAAAACTTTTTGATACGATAAATGGTCACGATTTGAAAACAGGTCCTGCTACATTTACGATAGGTAGGGCTAAACACAATAAAACTGCATTTTTCACTTATTCCAAAATATTAAAATTTTCAAAATCGTTGCGTACAATCGAACTTTTCGTGAGCGTTAGATTTGGGCATTGAAGCGAAATCCATTTTAACGCAAACTATCGCTGCGTAGAAACTCCTAAAATAAGCATTAACACAGTGTTATTTTTTCTGTCTATGAATTGGAGTTCCATCCGTATGTTGGCGTTGGGTGATCAGTGGAGTTTAATGGGCCAGTGGCATTGTGAGAGAGCGAAAGAACAGGAACGGATTGCAAATAAGAGCGACTCGGATAGTGATCCTGATCAAGAATGGGTGGCTTTGTGGGGTCGCCGATGCGCATCCCAAAGTTCTGAGTACATAGGATAACGTGGAATAAAGTCATCTGCCCTTTTGCTGTTCGTCAGTAACGATGTCATAAAAATCTCGCCAAAATTAGTGCATTCCTCGAAATTGGTGGTTCTGTGGGATTAACAAAAAGTAATTCAAAACAAATACAGTATGAAAAACAACTGTCAAAAATTTTTTTGTGGATATTCAAGATTTGTGTTGGAAACGTCTTTTTGATACTCACTGCAGTCTGTCGGATAGATGGGTGGCAGACAGAAGACAGGTCCGGCTGCGGTTTACATAGGTAGTTTCGTGTATCCAGTCTGCGTTAATCGATTTTTCATCATTCTATTCCAATGTACTCAGAATGCCTTTCGTCAATGAAGTTTTCGTGAAGTGCGAGTCCCTGATTTGGGCATTCGCTGCAAAATCAATTTTATCGACATCTATTGAGGTAAAATAAATAAGCATTAACAAAGTGTTATTTTCTCTGGGTACGAGTTGAGGGTGCCATCCGTATGTATGGCAAGTTGGGTGATCATTGTAGTTTAATGGGCGCAATGGCTCTTGCTCCTGACAGCTAAAGAACTTAGGAACGGATTGCACCTAAGAGGTCTCGCGTTTTGTGACGCGGAGTTGTGGGCCTGGTACGTGAAGGTCATACCTAAGTTTGAGTACATCATGGATCCAACGTGGAATAAAGCCATCTGTGCGATTGTGTTCGTCAATTTCGATGTCGATAGCGAATCTTCTGGCCAAAATGCGTAGCCGCTTCCTCGAAAGTTGGTGGTTCTGTGGGATTAATAAAACCGGTCAATTGATAACCAATACAATATAACAGTTCTCCCGTCCCAGAGTTTTCTGTGGATAGTCAAGATGGGTTGGAAACATTGCATTTTGATACTATTTCAGTGTTTTTTAGCTGGGTGGCAGATCTGTGGCCGCTCCGGCTAAAAGGGTATAGGTAGTTTCGTGCAAACAGTCTGTGGCATTTAATAGGAAGCGTTCTCTGCACTCTATAATCAATGGATATAGTCTTGATCAGGATCGGAATCGCCGAGTCCGAGTCTAGCCATGTCCGTCTGGCCGCTGTCCGTCTTTACTGTCCGGCGTCACCCGATAGCTGTCCGTCATGATATGACCTGTGGGAACGGTGTAGAGGTCGGTAACTAGGGAATGGCTAGAAGTATAATTGATCATTTTTTATGCAGAGTCTGGGAGTTCCTTCGCTGCCGACAGCTTTGACTTAAAAGGCTGTGCCCCTGCCCTCGCGTTTAGTGACGCCCACTATGGGCCTATATACGTATTGGTCTAAAAAAGTTTCACATCGATGCCGCCAACGTAAAAAGCCAGTTTTATGGTGTTTATCGATACCTATCGAAGTGTAGAAGAGAATTTTTTGGCCAGGAGCATTGCCGTTAAAAGGTTTAGGGCAGATCAAACCGGTTTTTATCTCGCATGTCCTACGACAGTAGTGCTTTGATGCCTGCCGTACCAGAGGCATCTGTGGATAGGAACAATTTAAAATTGCATCTCTATACATTTGTGTTTTTTATTTGCATATTTTTCCTTTAAGGAGAAGAATCGTTTGCACTCACCAGCAATTCAGGACTCATGTTCAGGTTGTAGGTTTGTAGGACAGTCACAGACTTTTTAAAGACATTGTTGAATCGCCAATGGCGATCGACTACCAGAGAGACTTCGTAGCTGACCTTCCCGTACTGGCCCACCACTGAGGAGGGGCAGTCCGGCGGCAGTGGAATGCCGAAGGAGTACGAGTGCGTTCCAGCTGGCAAGTTTCCGGATCCAAAGACGTTAGTACGACTGTTCACGTACGTCTGCTTACCACGGAAATGCTGCGTGTAGTGTTGCGTCTGACCATTTACGGACGTAGTCCTGCTTTCCCCCCAATGAACTTTTGACTCTCCCTCGAAGAGTACGTAAATCACTTTAAAAATTTGTAAATCAGATAATCTTATAAGACAAGGTTAGAACTAACTTTAAAATGTATTATATTACAACCAAATTGGTTTTAGTCGTTTAGAAATCTATACGTTTTAAACTTACTATCGGCTAATAAGGGTAAAATTTCGATCGAGCTCCATGTATCATTTTTAAACTTAATCTAGCGTGTCACTTGAGCCTACCATTTACGGATTTTTCCGACGTTGTTGTGAGAGTAACTCGTCCGTTGATCGTTTCTCCACTGTAGTAAATAAGTTCAGGGCGGTCAAACTCAAAAAAGCATTTCGAAGGCATTTTACTGATTTTGTGTATTAAACAACTTTTCTGTAACTAGATATTATTAAAAACACCAAAGTTTTCTTTTTTGTCCAACCGTATGCAGTAAAACTATTCAGGACCCAGCAAGCGTCATAAGCAAACTGAAAAATTAAATGAAAATAGCTGGTCCTTTCAGAGCTGCGTACATATTTCGTGACATCATCAATTCTCGAAAGCGAAGGTACAACTAAAGAGAGAGAGCTTTTGGGATTGCTTTCTTTGAAAACCAACTTGTTGAGTTTCCTGCTTTTTTTTCGTAAACGATTTTTACGTAAAAAAAAACTTTTAAAAAAATATTAAATACAAGTACTTAAGAGTAAACGTTACCTTTTTTATTACCAAATCTTTAAAAAATACAAGTGTCTCTTCTTATTTAAAAAATGTATAAGCTATAAGGCCACTGTCTTAAAATTTTATTTAGGCAAAGTCGTAGACAATGTTAAAGCTTCAATTTAAGTATAATTCGATTGTTAATATATGTTTCTAAAAATAAATCTTTTAAAATGAACTAAGCCAGAATACTTTAAATTCTTTTAGATTCTCTTAATATTGAGTGTCGTTGCAGTTACTTATAATATTTTATATTCCTGAGGTATGGCGCTGCAACATAAAGATAACGAAAGTAAAAGCTAGACGCACAAAATAGCATATGTGAGTAAGAAAATAATATCCATTAGTTTATAGGACAATGTACAATCCGTCGATGAGATTACGTCTGAGGTACTTGTTCCTGTCTATGAGTTGGAGTTCCAGCCATAAGTGATCGTTGGGCGATCAGTGGAGCTGCCACCAATCACTGGGGCAGTAGCATTGTGAGGTAGCGAAAGAACAGGAACGGATTGCAGGTAAGGGGAATCCGATTCCTCAGTGGGTGGTGGTGGCGCCGATGGCATGGCAAAGTTGGTGTACATCGGGTAGCGCGGAATAAAGTCGTCCGTGCGATTGTGCTCGTCCACATCGGTGTCGATGAACTTTTCGCCGAAATTGGTAGCCTCCTCGAAAGTTGGTGGTTCTATGAGATAGATACAGAAATAAATGTAACATACTAATTAAATATTTTAAAATTTTACTTACTGCACTTGTCGTAGCTGGGGGGCAGATCTGCGGCAGCTCCCGCCGGAGTATTGGGTGTTTCGGGTATCCATTCTGCGGCATGCGAAGGATTCTCTGCGCTCTGAATCAATGGAATAGTACCAATCACAATGGGGACCTCGAAGTCCGAATCCACGTGGCATTCTCCGGTACTGATTGTCAGAATCACTTGATAGTTAACCGATATGATGCCATCGATGCGTGAGGAGGGCGGCACCGCCGGAATAGCCAGTGTGCCTTCGATTATCCTCTTCGTGAGCCGCAGCACCCGCTCCTGCTGGCAACTCTTATGCAGAGTGTAGTCCTTCTCACGTATTTTATGATGTGGGGTTTGGGCCTGGAACTTGTAGATCTGCTTCAGCTTCACTTCGATGCCGTCCAGGTCATAGCCACTTGATTGATTGTCGATTTCCAGGGTGAAGCGAATCTTCTGGCCAGGAGCGTAGCCGCCGAAGGGTATTGTAAGGGTCGAGAGAACCGGACCCGAGCTGCAGGGCCAACAGCAGAAGTGTTTGATGTCCTCGCGCACTAGGGGCATCTGTGGAACAAGATTACATTTGTTTGATTACATTTCAAATTTCGCAAATAAATATTTACATTCAATCCTTGCATTTTTAATTTATAGTCAAATTTTTTGTTACGTTTTTAAAATTTTAGCATTTTTAAGTCAGGGCGGTCGGCAGAGTTAAAGTGGATTGAATCATTTTGTTGACTAATACATTAAATACAATGTTTTGTTATTTTATTAGTTTACTATACTTAATTTTTTATATGAAAAAAACAGGGAACAAAACCCTTTAAATTGCCAAAAAATTTAGCTTAGCTTCATTGACATAAATAACGCGAAAATAGGTACACTTAACATTTAGATTGCAGTCTGAAAATAGAAGCTCAACGGTATGTACGTTGCTGATTTCAAATGAATATCATCGGGAATATAATTGAACACCTAATCTTGATCTCTTGGTCTATTTTTGAAATCGTTTGGACTCACCAGCAATTGAGGACTCATGTTGAGGTTGTAGGTCTGCAGCACCGTCAGCGGCTGCTTATAGACGTTATTGAAGCGCCACTGTCGATCGATGTGAACGGAGACCTCGTAGCAGATCTTCCCGTACTGCCCAACCACTGAGGAGGGACATTCCAGGGGCAGGGGGATGCAGAAGTTGTAGGTGTGCGTTCCAGCTGGAAGATTTCCGGACCCGAAAACACAGGTCCGGGTGTTTAGGTACGTTTGCGTGCCCCGGAAGTACTCCGTGTAGTGTTCCGTCTTTCCGTTTCGGGACCTTGTTCTGCTCTCGGTCCACCGAACCTTGGCCTCGCCCTCGAAGAGAATGTACACCTCTGGAAATAGAGAGGGATTATTAAATACAATTGCATATTTTCACATTTCTTATAATAATAACGACAGGGAGTCGTCGACAACGTACTTATCAAGTTGCAAAAAAGTCAACTAATCAAGTTGCAAATAGTATACTATGTGAAAACCGCAATTCAATATATGTATTCTAAGTGTTCTGTACATTGTACATACAGTTGCGGTCAAAATAATAGTAGTGCCGTTCGCGCACATAGTTTTTTCTAAATATTTTCTCTATTTCTTCACGTATCCAACTCATTCTTTCTCAAAAGTAACTGTAATTATCCTCTCTTTAAAAATGTGCAGTTATGTTAGGATCTCGTCTCTCTTTGTATTCCCTTTCGCCTTTTATTGCAAAGATGCACGTGTTGGGGTCAGTCAAAATAATAGTAGTGCCAGAGAAATTAGCAAGAATAATTAAATTTACTTCTTTTTAAACAAGGTTTGTGTTATTAAACAATACGTTTGGATGTTATTTATTAGTCCCTAGCATTTTTAGATCCCTGCTCAACACTTAGTCCTGGCTACATGGGGCGTGGCAAACACTGTACTGCCGAGAGGCGAGATCTAATTAAAAAATTGATTTCTGATGGAAAGACTTATGTAGAAGTGCAAAATATTATAGGCTGCTCCTCTACAATGCACACTGGGCCAGAAAGTTAATTTTTTGGCCAAAAATCTGTAATTTCTTTCCTAGGACAGTTAGAAGGATGCATTTTTTTGCGTTTTTTTCTTAAAAGATTGAACTTTCCAACGAACTACAAGTAAAATTTCTTGGAATTTTATATGATATAGATAATCCAGACCAAAGTCGGAAAATTTTACGGACTTTTCGGTTTTTTATTTTTAAAAAAATAACTAGAAGACGCACTTCTTTCATTTTCGAAAACAATAAAGTATGAGATAAAACAAACTAAAAAAAATTAACATCACTAAAAAATATTATGTCATTTAAGATTTATGAACCGTTAAAAAGTGCAACTTTCGGAGGCTCCCACATCAACGTTTATCAAACAATCGATTTAAAAAAAATTTCTATTTTTTTGTTCTTGTTACCTTTTAAGTTATATATAATCAAATTATGTAAAAAAAATTGTTTAAAAATATTGTTTTTTGATTTGTTTAATGTTAATTTGACATATTCTGAAGTCATCACAAAAAGTATGCTACATTTTTATTTGCATAGTCCTGATTAAATAGATAGATATAGGTTTGGAAAATACCATGATCGATTAGTGTACTTAAAAAGTAGATTTAAGATGTTAGTCACACTAAAATCACGCCAAATGTTCACTAAAACCTGAAGAAAAAAGTACGGCATACTTTTGGGCTCTCTAGCAAAGCTCTTCAAAATAGCTCGACTTTGAGTTAAGCCTTCAATTAAAACTAAAATTACCGGCAACTAAGGCAAAACCGCATCGAGTCGGTGGGCTACGCTTTTAGTAAATTGATCAACGAATTTTTTTTTGAAGGAATGAACTAATTTGGGGATGGCACTCGAAGGCACTCGAAAAGCAAAGTACTCATTTGCTGAAAAAAAGCGTAAAATTAACAATTACATTTATTTTAGCAAACAAGTAAGACATACGAGCTATATTATATTTTTTACTTGTTGAAAATAATCCCTTCTGCAAGTTTCGGAAAGAAGTCGAACAGCAACATAAGCATCTTTGACTTCTAAATTTTTTTTCATTTCCATCAATATTTTATGAATTTTTCACTTTGAAAATATGGTAAAAGAAAACTACTTGCCCGAATTCTTTGAAACTTTGGCATAAATTAGTTTAATGTATTATAAAAAGGATCGCAAACTCAATTTGGTCATTTTCTTAAAAAAGAAAAACGTATTTTTGGCCAAAAATCTGATCGGCTGGCCCAGTGTGCAATGGTTAGAAATGCTATTAAACATGAGCCAGCAAATGAAACGCGTGGGCGCCCAAAGATATTGGACAAAAGATCAGTGGATCGCTTGGCCAGACAGTCAAGGATCGAGCCATTCGCGTCCGCTGCATCACTAAAAAAACGTTGTGACTTAAATGTTAGTTTGGAAACAATAAGAAGGAGGCTTAGAGATAATAACCTCATTTCAAGAAGTCCAAGAAAAGTACCGTTACTCACAAAAAACATGCCGCCAAACGCTTGAAGTTTGCAAGAGAACACTTGACTTGGCCCTTGGAGAAGTGGAGGAATATTTTGTGGTCGGATGAGTCAAAAATAGTTAAGTTTGGAGGCCGTGGCTCTCGGCAGTTTGTTAGACGACCACCCTTATGCGCTTTTACTCCAAAGTATACCTTAACGAGGACGGAAGCTAACTTCGGCAAGCCGAAGTTTTAATACCCTTGCAGATTTTACGAATTAAAACTTGACTAGACTAGCAACATGAATTAATAAACAACAAAATATTTTATAATTGAAAAAATAAAATTTTAAAATTTTTCACCCTATTGTTCCTATGGGAGCTATAGGATATAGACGCCCGATCGGCACGCGCGTTTACCCTAATGAAGGTACGCACAAAAAAATACGATTTGGAAAGTTTCATGGGAATAGCTAATATTTTGCGCGAAATATCCTGAAAAACGTCAAATTTTGACCGATTTCACCCTATTGTTCCTATGGGAGCTATAAGATATAGACGTCCGATCGGCACGCGCTTTTACCCTGATCAAGGTACGCACAAAAAAATACGATTTAGAAAGATTCATGCCAATAGCTCTTACACTGAGCGAAATATCTTCATTTTTGTGAAAGCTATATCCGATTGTTCCTATGGGAGCTATAGGATATAGACGTCCGATCGGGTCGGCTTTCAAACTTGATCTGCGTACACATGTTTTAGGACGACTGTGAAAGTTTCAAGGCGCTAGCTTTTAAACCAGCGGTCGGCAGCGCCCTATTAAGTGAGCATAGGGTTTTGTTCTGCCGCCGCGCTGCTCGCACATGTATAACGTAGAACAGCGGTCTGCACACACACATCGATGAGCTGCCCAGTGCAAATTACTGACACAAATATAAAAGAAAATGACAACGTATGTGTGTGCCGACCGCTGTTTTAAACTGAGCTCGCAAACGGTATTGAAACAGACATACAGACGGACAGACGGACAGACGGACAGACGGTCAGACGGTCAGACGGACAGACGGACAGACGGACAGACGGACATGGCTATATCGACTCCCCTATTGATCCTGATCAAGAATATATATACTTTATGGGGTCGGAAACGTCTCCTTCACTGCGTTACAAACTTCTGACCAAAATTATAATACCCTCTGCAAGGGTATAAAAACGGTAAAGCACGGTGGATCATCAATTATGATTTGGGCGAGTTTTTCATACTATGGAGTAGGCCCTGTATATTGGGTCAAAACCATAATGGACCGTTATCTATACGTCAGTATTTTGAACGACGTGATGCTCCCATATGCCTCTGAGGACATGCCTCTTGTTTGGACGTTCCAACAGGACAACGATCCGAAGCACACCAGCAAACTTGCTAAAGAGTGGTTCGCAGCCAATGAAGTCGATGTCATGGAGTGGCCCGCACAGTCACCCGATCTCAATCCAATTGAGAATTTGTGGTGTGACGTGAAAAGAGCAGTCTCGGAATTAAAACCAAGCAATAACTTTCAACTTTGGGAAGCTGTACAAAGATCTTGGAGCTCTATTCCTCTAGAGAGATGCCAAAATTTAGTTAATTCCATGCATAAGCGCTGTGCGTCTGTTATTGCAAACAAAGGATATGCCACCAAATACTAAAATAAACCTTAAATATAGATCTAATATATACATTTAAATATTCAATCTTAAAACGTTTTTTTTGGCTGTGAAATTTTTTGGAACTTTTCACTACTATTATTTTGACCGAACAAAATTTTGTAAAATTACACATTTTTATTTTTTTCTGAAAATTGGTATGAGTTATCCTAAGTTGTTGTTTATTATTATTACCTTTAAACAGTTGAGTTTCAATCGAAATTAAAAAAAAAATTGTTAAAACGTTTTTAAAGTTACTTTTTGGGGTTTCAAGAAATCGTCTGTGGGCACTACTATTATTTTGACCGCAGCTGTATGAATCGAGTTTATCACTATCTACAGTTGTTGGATGAATCGATTGGCCACAGTGGAATAACCGAATAATAATGCATGTGAAGTGGATTAGAACCATTAAGCATACAGTTTACCCACTGTATCAAATACTTGTTGCTCTCTTATCTTTGCCTTTTTTGTGTATATACAAAATGTTCTTTCGCTAAAGCTTTCAAGTTTGCGTTGGAATTGTCAATTTAAACAAGAAAGGAAGCTAGCTTCGGCCAGCCGAAGCTTATATACCCTTGCAGATCATTCCTATTAATTTACAAATCGCAAAAATGTTCAATTTTCTAATATTTCTCATTAATTTTCCGATCGTTCCTATGGCAGCTATATGATATAGTCGTCCGATTTTGATCAAATTAAAATTGAAATTCGAAAATATTTAAAAAGAGTCATATCCTAGAGTAGGGGATAATACAATAAAAACCAAAGAAGCTAGAATTTATTTCCTATTACTTTTCCATTAATTTTCCGATCGTTCCTATGGCAGCTATATGATATAGTCGTCCGATTTTGATTAAATTAAAATTGAAATTCGGAAATATTTAAAAAGAGTCATATCCTAGAGTAGAAGATAATACAATAAAACCCAAAGAAGCTAAAATTTATTTCCTATTACTTTTCCATTAATTTTCCGATCGTTCCTATGGCAGCTATATGATATAGTAGTCCGATTTTTTAACTAATTAATTCGAAATTCAGATATATTTAAAAAATAACATCCCCAAAAGTAGAAGGTAATATTTCAAAAACACCGAAGCTAGAATTTTATACCCTTGCAGAGGGTATTATGATTTCAGTCAGAAGTTTGCAACGCAGTGAAGGAGACGTTTCCGACCCCATAAAGTATATATATTCTTGATCAGCATCACAAGACGAGTCGATCTAGCCATGTCCGTCTGTCCGTCCGTCTGTCCGTCTGTCCGTCTGTCCGTCTGTCTGTTTCTACGCAAACTAGTCTCTCAGTTTTTGAGCTATCGGGATGAAACTTTCCCAAAAGTCTTCTTTCTATTGCAGGTAGTATATATGTCGGAGCCGACCGGATCGGACAACTATATCTTATGGCTCCCATAGGAACAATCGGAAAAAAAAAACTTTAAAAAATTCTAGCTTCGGTGTTTTTTGAAATATTACCTTCTACTTTTGGGGATGTTATTTTTTAAATATATCTGAATTTCGAATTAATTAGTTAAAAAATCGGACTACTATATCATATAGCTGCCATAGGAACGATCGGAAAATTAATGGAAAAGTAATAGGAAATAAATTTTAGCTTCTTTGGATTTTATTGTATTATCTTCTACTCTAGGATATGACTCTTTTTAAATATTTCCGAATTTCAATTTTAATTTAATCAAAATCGGACGACTATATCATATAGCTGCCATAGGAACGATCGGAAAATTAATGGAAAAGTAATAGGAAATAAATTCTAGCTTCTTTGGTTTTTATTGTATTATCCCCTACTCTAGGATATGACTCTTTTTAAATATTTTCGAATTTCAATTTTAATTTGATCAAAATCGGACGACTATATCATATAGCTGCCATAGGAACGATCGGAAAATTAATGAGAAATATTAGAAAATTGAACATTTTTGCGATTTGTAAATTAATAGGAATGATCTGCAAGGGTATATAAGCTTCGGCTGGCCGAAGCTAGCTTCCTTTCTTGTTTAAAGTTTTTTTTTCCGATTGTTCCTATGGGAGCCATAAGATATAGTTGTCCGATCCGGTCGGCTCCGACATATATACTACCTGCAATAGAAAGAAGACTTTTGGGAAAGTTTCATCCCGATAGCTCAAAAACTGAGAGACTAGTTTGCGTAGAAACAGACAGACGGACAGACGGACAGACGGACAGACGGACGGACAGACGGACATGGCTAGATCGACTCGTCTTGTGATGCTGATCAAGAATATATATACTTTATGGGGTCGGAAACGTCTCCTTCACTGCGTTGCAAACTTCTGACTGAAATCATAATACCCTCTGCAAGGGTATAAAAACAAAATAAATGGGACCACATATGTATCGTTGATGATTGCGTGTTGTATTAGGGGGCGAGCTGAGCTCATCAGGGCACAGCTAAAATTTTAATTAGTTAAATATGAAATAATGCTTTTCAGCATATGAAAGCCATATAAATGATTGCTGGATAATCGTTCTTACATAATTTGTGGAACACTTTGTGCTACTATCTGGTTTTATTTACTGCATTCTATAAAACCGGCTTGTTATTATAATGTTATCTCAGGTACTATAAGAGCGATAAGGAGAAAGTTCTGCCTCTTTATATTTATAGTTATAACAACTTACCGTTTACCGTCTTTTCGGATGTTGTTGTCAGAACAGCCCGCCCATTGATCGTTTCTCCACTATAGTAAATTGGTTCGGGGCGATCAAACTCAAAGATGCAGTTTGAAGGCATTTTGAAGTAGTTTTTGGTAACAAAAACTGCGCTATATTATGTGGGTGCCGGTAAATGAACCGAAAAGGTCTAAAATTGTATTTTGACACGACGCGAGGCAAGTAAATTGTTTAGCACCAGACAAGTGTCGCTCCCGAAGTGAGATATAATATGAGAATCGCCGGTATGCGAGAGCTCTTGTCTAGACTATTTGTGACATCATCACTTTCTGAGAGCAAAAGCTTATTTGATGGAGAGCAAAAACAAAAGAGCGAGCTTTAAGGCCTGCGCTCCGCGAAAACTATTTTGGAGAACTTCATATTTTTCCCCATGTTTATAGTTTTTTGTTGTTACACCCAAATTCGCCTGTTGCTACGAATAACAAAAACAAAATCAGAAATTTGTAAACAAAAACAGATGTGTTCTCTGAAAGCTCCATCAGCTTTTGGATCTATGGCTAAAGTAAAGTATTTCTCATTTGTTGATCCCCAATTTTAAGGAATACTCAAATTTAAGTGCATCTAAGTATATACTTTCTGTGGATATTTGCAAAGATATTATACCCGTTACTCGTCGAGTATAAATATTCTTGATCAGAATCACCTTCCGAGTCAATATAGCCATGTCCGTCTGTCAGTATGAACGCTGAGATCTCGGAAACTACAAAAGCTAGAAAGTTTGGATTACCCACATATATTCTTGGGCTTCCTACGCAGCGCAAGCTTGTTTCAGCCGAGCGCCACGCCCCCTCTAAAACGAATTTAATAGGTGTCCACACCTTTAAAGATTTCGGAAAAGTACAAATGCAGTTTTATTGTGTTTTACAATACCTATCCCTCGCACTCCCTTAAGCCGAGTGACGGGTATCTGATAGTCGGGGCACACAACTATAGCCTTTTCTCTTGTTTTTGGTACTGTCTTTCTTCGAAACCTTAACTGATCTTATGAGAATCTGTCAAGTTATATTTTATTTCTTTCTACATCGTTCAACGTCAAACTATGACAATAAAAAAACTTTAAAATATTGTATTTTAATATCAGCAAATGACTTTTATAGTGATCACAAAATCATGAGTTCTTCCTTGATATGTAAAAAATTGATATGAATATTAGTTCACAGCTTCGCCCTTTTGATTTTTAGAACCATTAAAAAATTGTATTCTCCAAATTGGCAAAGAATTATTTATCAGAAGATGTGATTTACCCTTATGAATTAGAGTTAAAGTCCTACTAAGGCTCTATTAAGGCTATCAGAAGACTATTCGCTTATCAATAAGGCAGTGACATTTCAAAGTAGTAACAGGATTACAGAAGAGCGGAACTCGGCCCCTCTGTATTTGATGGTGGGGTCGATCCAAAATTTGTGTACATCGGGTAACTTGGTATAAAGCCATCATTGCGGTTCTCTGCGTCCTCATCGATGTCGATAAAGGTTTTGCCAACAATAACCGCTTCTTCAAAGGTTGGTGGGCCTGTGGAATTTATAATTTAATATCATTTAATATCATCGACTCAAGATAATGGTAATGATAGTGGTAGATCGATTTATATAATTACTTACTATAATTGTCGTAGCTGGGCGGCAGATCTTCCGTTTGGGCATTCAACTCTGCCACATACGTGGGATCTTCTGCGCTCTGGATTAATGGAATGGTGCCTATAACAATCGGCAAATATAAATCCGGATGTGTTTGGCAATCGTCCAAGTCGACTGTCAGGTGCGCTTCGTAGCTCACCGATATGATGTCATTATTGTTGCGGGAGGAGGGCGGTACTGGAGGAATAGTTAGCGTGCCTTCGATTATCCTCTTTGAGAGCCTCAGAACCTTGGCTTTTTGGTAACTTTCTGCCACGAAATGCTCTACCTTATATGAATAATGTTTGGGATCGTTTGCTTTCAGTTTAAAGATCTGTTTCAGCCGCATTTTCATGCCGACCAGATCACGGCGACTCGATTGGTTGTCGACTTCCAACTTGAAGGGGATCTTCTGGCCGGGTGCGTAGCCTCCAAAGGGTATTGTAAGGGTCAACAAAACCGAACCCGACACGCAGCGCCAACAGCAGAAGTCCTGGATATCCTCTTGTATTAAGGGAATCTGGATAATAAGTAATTTACTATTTACGTACATTTTCGATTATTTATGTAAGGCTTTGAACTCACCAGAAGTTCGGGTCTCATGTTGAGATTGCTCGGTTGCAGGACCGTCAGTGGTTTCTTAAATTTGTGGATGTTGTGTGCACCGACCTTCAAGATGCAAAGTTTGATCTCGTACCAGATTTTTCCAAATTCCGTCACCACCGACGTAGGACAGTCCGATGGCACGGAAATATCAAAGGAAACGGTGTGAGTGCCGGCTGGCAGCGTTCTGGATTGTATGACATTGGTCTGGGTATCGACGAATATCTGCCTGCCCCGGAATACCACATGTGCTGACTCTCCCTTGTCACAAGCGCGAAATCGCACCTTGCCTTCACCAACGAAAAGTATAAAAATCTCTTTGAAAATAGAAAAAAACAAGGAAAAACGAAAATCGTTATATTAGGCACTTGTAGAAATCAAAGTCACATAATTTATTTGCAATTTTTATAGTCCGGTAATATTACAGTTTTTATTAAGCCGATTTCTTATTATCACAAAGTGGTAAGATATCAGTTGGTTCTTCTAAATTTTGGTTTGATTTAGACTAGATCTCACGGTAGAAACTTAGAGTTGACTTCGTTGTAAGTAGAGCCCGGCCTTTTATTCTTTCTCCCGCGAAGTATATGGGATCGTTGCGATCGAGCTCAAAAGAGCAGCGCATTTCTGGCTACTTTTGGTCAAGAAAATGTTTCTTTATTTTTGGTTCAATTAACTTCAATCCAAATTTTTGTCTATGTCGACACGCGGTCAAAAATATTAACCAGCACGAATCAAGCTTTGGCTGAAACTGAGAAATAAAATTAAATTCAAATTTGGGGAGCGAAAGTTTCTGTTTGAAAAGAGTGACAGCATAAGAGAGAGAGAGAGAGAGAGAGAGAGAGCTTTTGGGGCCTTGATAGTTTCGTTATTTGTTTGTAAACAAAAATGTGCTGTATTATGCGTGGATCCACGGGGTGATTTGGGTAATATTTCACAATTTGGTGGGTAATAGGAATTGAATGTATTCTTAAAGTATCCAACAAAAAATTGTTCTGATATTACCCCCACAACCAAATCCTGGATCCGCCACTGGTTGTATTGCTAGTGAAAGTCCACGGCTAGGCAAGCTACAAGTCGAAATATTAATCCTGATTTCCTACTATGATTTTAAGAAAAACTTCATTTTTACTCTACTTTGTTGAGAAATACCACGCACCATAAACTTAGAAAAGAACAACTAAAATGTTCTAAAATTTGAAAAATACGGAATGTAGAGTGCCTTTTTTTTTATCAGATTCCATTAACTCTATTAACCAAAAACCATAATAAAGTAGTTTAGTAACTAAAATAACATTTTTGTTCAATGTCTTTAAAGACTACTTTGCACAAATCTTTTTGTTTAAAGTATTGAGTAACTGAAAATAATGATAGCACTAAAATTTTGTTCAATGCCTCCAAAGACTTGACTTTGTCTGTCTGGGCTATATTCGCAATTTATCGCATATCACCCAGGAGACACTTTTATATTCTTGTTTGTTTATTTACCAATTCGTGGGCATATGTAGACATACATATAAATATTTTGGTTAGTACACTGGCGAACCGAAAAAGAAATAAATACTGCCGAGATAAGATATAGTCGTGATTTTGCGCGATAAAAGCCCTCAGATCTGTACGGGTGACTACACAGGTTGTTTTTCCTGACGTTGCTTCGACTGTCCAGGATCGGCGGGTCGTCTGCGCCGGCGGCGCCGTTTCTTCTGCGGAGGATTTGGTGGCGGAGACTGGAAGGTGTCCACATCAAAGACCGGGTACCGCGGTGTAAACCGGGAGGATTCGCTTACGGTGTTCGCGTCCGTGTCCGCAATATCAGTGCTCATGAACATGGCCTGCTCGTATGTAGGGGGAGCTAAAGTGGGAGAAATAAAAAAATAAATAATAATAATAATAAATGATAATAAATATTTAAGAAATAAATATTAATACCAGAAAATAAAATCAAGACAAAAAAGATGTATAAAATATTTTTGGAAAAATATAAATCTAAGCTAAATATTAATTGTACATTTAGAATAAACTGCTATACTCTACCAAATAAGAACCGACAAACATCCAGTAAGCCTTCCGTTCATTAAATAACTATATTGATATTTTTAAAAACATAGCTGTTTACTAAGTTTGTGTATCAGCTAGTATTTAATTGTACCTAATAATTTTATAATGAACTGTAAGTAATTTGTTGACATGCCGTATAGTCTTTATCAAAGTGTTTCTCTTCAGAAATGAAACTAATTCGCATAAGTTTTCCCTTTACTTACGTAAATCTGGGACAAAATCGTCCGTGGCCTCCAGCTCATCGTCTCCGTCCTCCGGCAACTCGAAGTCCTCGAGATCCTCGCTCATCTCGTAGCCGGAGTTGCTGACCCCGCTGGGCGACATCTGAGCCAGTTCCATGGCCCTTGTGGAGGTGCAGGGCAAATCGGCGGGCAATGGGCTTCCAGCGGCAAAGGCGTTGGTTGGCAGGAAGTCCGGTCCGGAAGCCGCAGTGGCCAGCGGAACGTTGCCAATGGTAATGGGTATGATGACCCGCGGATTGGCCATCAGCCAGTTCATTACGGCCACCACACGAACTTCGTAAGACACGCGTACCACTTTGCTCAAATGTTCGCAGGTCGGAGCCGTGGCCGGAATCCTCAGGGATTCCGTGTAGGTCCTCTGTCCGTGATGAGCCACCGGTCCACACTCTCGCTTCACCAGCATTATCTTCTCGGATGTCGTTCGCAGCGACGGCTGGTCCGCCGTGTAAGTTGCCCGCAGGTGCAGCATGATCAGCAGTTTGCGGCAATCGGAACTCGACTCATTGCGCACCTGGGCGTGGACCAGCATAAACTGACCGGGGACATAGCCCTGCTGCTGCAGGGTGACCTTCAGCTCCACCGGTTTCGTGTGCATCAGGCAGAAGTACTCCACGGCCTCGTTGCTCGCCGGTTCCCGGAGCATCTTGTTCTCCTGGTTCAAATCGAGGAGCTTCAGCACTGTGAAGCCCACGTTGTGAGTGCGATTGGAGGCGCCCGGCTTGAGGAAGGTGACCTTGGCCAGGTACCGGATATGCCCGTAGGCGCCCTCGAAGGACGAGGGGCAGTGGCTCGGAATGGGGCAGGCGAACGTGTAGGTGTACGTCCCGGCGTCCATGTTGAAGTTGCTGCCCTGCTCGGAGCCCATCAGGTAAGTGGTGGAGGCTATGTAGTCCTCCCGTCCGCTGTACTGGTGCTTCGATCGCTTCTTGGGATTCTGAATGGCCACCGCCTTACCATGTCTGCGGAGTCGCCACTGTGCCTGCGCGTAGCCACTGATCTGCAGTTTGATTCCTGAAAATTAAGATATATTACAATGGTTCCTAATCTATGTATTATAAAGGAAAGTGTTTTAAATGGTTTACGTGTATAAATTTGGGTTAGGAGAGTACGAAAATAAAAATGTTGTAAAAAATACAATGGGTTCGTAAAAATGTTAAGTTTGTTTATCTTTTTGCAACCAAGATTATAATTGTGTTTGACTTAAAACTGGGTTGCCTATCAAGGTGGGTATAATATTATGATAAGATAAACCCCCAAACCGGAAGCCGTTACTAACTTTTCAAAGGAAAATGAATAAATCAGACCTAAATGCATTTAATGTTTAATGGGTATGATAATATTCTATATTATCTATTTTTGCTTCGACAGACTATGAAGCAAATTTTCAAGTTATTTCACTTATTACATCAAATGGTTACGATTCACTTTTATGCCTTTTACATTCCAAAATAATATACAAATAATACACGATATCAAGTACTGTCAATGCCGAGCCAAACAAAAAATAAACATGAGTAAGTCCGCCGGTATTTCCTCGAAACAAAACTAAATCACTTGGGTAGATCCCCAGCCATAAGTAAAAAAATTATCACTGCCTGGGCTCCGGGAATCATCAATTATCGCACATTTGGAGTGTCCGCATGGTTATCACTTAATTACCCGTTTCAATGGTTTGTTGAAACTTTTGCTTTTGCCAAACCTGACATTATCCGATGCGATAAGATACGCTGCGCCAGATAAGCGAAAGCCCCTCGACTAGTTAATGATACATTCCTAGTGGGATCCTAGTTGGGCCTACGTACCTCGCAGTTTCTTGGTCTTGTTCAGATTGACAATCACCTTGCCGGTTATCACCTGGCCGGTGAAGTAGGTGCCGTGTTCATTCTGGTCGAACGTTATCATGCAGTTCTTCGACATGATGGCGAAACGGTATCGCACTTATCCGTGTCCAGAGCTATTAATTTTGCGAACGGTCCTTACGCGCTCGCCGCCAAAAGTGAACTGAGGCTAACTGTATGGTTAACAGGGCCTAGACTCTCTTACCCAATATTTGCTGTTGGCCAGCTTTATCTTATCGCCTTAACTCTCTACAAAACCCACTGCAATGTTAAATTTTTATAAAATTTTTTTTTTTTTTTTTTTTTTTTTATTAAAGAGGGAGTGAGGTTTTTAAAAAAAAAAAAATTTTTTTTTTTTTTTTTTTTCAATATTTCCAATTTTTTTTTTTTTTTTTTTTTTTTCTTTTTTTTTGTTTTTTTGTTTTTTTTTTTTTTTTTTTTTTTTTTTTTTTATTTTTTTTTTTTTTTAATTTTTATTTATAATTTTTTTTTTTTTTTTTTTTTTTTTTTTTTTTTATTTTTTTTTTTTGGGGGGGGGGGGGAACCTTTTTTTTTTATTTTATATTTAAAAAAAAAAAATTTTTTTTTTTTTTTTTTTTTTTTTTGGTTTTTTTTTTTTTTTTTTAAAAAAAAAAAAAAAAAAAAATAAAAAAAAAAAAAAAATAAATTTGAATTGTAAAGGGGAGGGTTTTTTTTTTTTTTTTATAAGGGGATATATTTTTTGGGGGGGGGGAGGGGGCTTCCTTTTTTTTTTTCTTTCAGAGCGAGTGCAAAATCACGGATAGTTGGCAACGCGGGGAGTTGAGTGAAATAGCTCCATAAATATATTAACAACTTCCATGAAAATGTAAAGTAGCTAAATGTCAAAGTACCCCTGGTGGTTACAACGCTCCATCACTGCTATCTCGACCTTGCTCCCTGCTCCCCCCATCGATCACCTCGCCCCGTTCAATTTCGTATATCTCCTATCGCTGTCACTTACATATGTAAATACTTCCCCTGGCAATGGTACAAATTTGTGTTTAAATACATAAATACCTATCGCATTGATAAGATAAAATAAAAATGTTGGCCAAATAAATGCTGCAAAAAATAAAATAAAAACAGACCCAGTGGGCGACTTCAGTTCGCTGGGAGACACGACGCAGACAGGGCAAAAGTTAACTAGCTCCGGGATTATCAGTGAAATCAATCCGAATAATGGTAATCTGTGAGATTGAGTTCTTCAATAATCCCCAGGGGATTTTCTATGCGGGCCAGCTGATTTCCGGACAGGTGGTAATCAAAACGGAGAAGGCGAAACCAGTTAAAGGTAAGACGACGCTGATTCATTTCTATTTGTTATCTCCACTCGAGTCAAAATTTATTGGGGGACAGACTTAATTGGCTTTGAAGTGCATGTGCTGCAAGTGCTAAAAATAGCTGGTAAATTGAAAACTTATCTTTACATTCAGCCGTGGTTCTCCAAATCAAAGGATATGCCGAAACCCATTGGACCGATACCGAATACGATCCGGAGGATCAGTCGAACGGAGAATCATTCAACGGACATGTGGACTACCTGGCCACAAGGGCTTATCTGCACGGATCTAGCTCCAGCATAGGTGTGTTCCAAGATGATAAATCATTGTAAATCAATAGATAAGTAAATCAAAGCTCCATTTCAGAGGTGATTATTGAGCCCGGCACGAGCACATATAGATTCGCCTGTCAGTTGCCCATCACATGTCCATCTTCTTTCGAGGCGACACTCGGGCGGATACGTTATTTGGTGAACGTGAGGTTCGTGCGTCCGTGGAAACACGACCAGAACTTCAATCGATGTTTCACTGTACTCAAAGTGATGGACCTAAACTCCGCGAGCCTGATGTTGAGGGTAAGACTTCTCGGTCCACTGGGCGAAAGCGACCCTAATTATAGGTGTCTGTTTGGATTTGAATGCAAGGAAATACTTAAGTATAATTTTTACAATTATGAATAATTTGTAAATATTCTTAACGCCTTTCTTTTTAAGAATATTCCTCTGTCGTCTTTACTAGCTTTTAAATTATATTTATTATTTTTTATATATTTCATACATTCCTGAAACTTCAGATACCCAGCCAAGTTGAGTCACAGCGCACTTTCTGCTGTTTTCCCTGTCGTTCGTCGCCCCTCAGTATGCGCCTCTCCCTGCCGCAGGGTGGCTTTGTGCCAGGACAGACTGTACCGGTGGAAGTAATGGTCTCCAACGAAAGCGGCGTGGCGGTGGAGGACATAACCGTGAAGCTTGCCATGGTGGTGATCTACTACAGTCAACCCCCGTGCGCGGAGACCAACAAGGATCGGTTCGTGATGGTCCAGAAAACTGGCGAGGGCGTGTCGTCGAAATGCCGCAAGCAGCTAACTTTTGATCTTACGGTCCCAGCCACTCCGCCCACATGCTTCAATCTGTGCAGCATCATTCAGATCGGCTATCAGGTGGAAGCAGAGGCCAGGGTCAAAGGTTGTCATGGAGGTCAGACGCTTCACATGCCCATAACCATTGGAAGCGTCCCATTGACGAAGCAACTGCAGAAAGAGCCAAAGATTTGGGGCGAGGACCCACTGCCCCAGCAATTAGATGCCACGGCATTAGTTTTGATTGCAAACGAAGCAGCTGGGGAACCTCTTGGCCCTCCAACTCCTTGGGCAGCAGATCCATCTGTTGGTGAGCTTGAAAACTTTTTTAAACCAAATAAAGAAACCCTACCAAAAATATTTCCCATTTAATTTTATTTTTATAATCAGATGAATAAAGAAGTTCTTTCCTTTTTACAGCTCCGCCGAATTATGTCGCAGCCAAACATATCTGTCCGGATCCACAAAAGTGCTCAAAGTCAAAAAGGAAGTCTCAGAAAATATCTGGTAAAGGGTCACAAGACAAGAAAAGGGAAGAAATTACGTTTACTCCGCTGTACGGCATCTTTGATCTGTCAAATCAAACCGACGAAATGATTCTGAGACCCAATCAAAAGAAGACTGATGGCGGATATGTCAATGAAGAAGTAGATAAGAGCACTTGGCTTTAAAAATAATTGAAATTGAATATACATATTTTTTAAATTATAAATAAAATATTCAAATAAATCATGAAATCAAAAAGTTGAACTGATTTCCTTGTTGCCAAACGCGCACTGTGGGAACTTTTTGGAACCTGTGATAAAAACTTAGTTTTGCACTATCTTATCGAAGATATTGCCCAGAAACAAGTGCAACTGAGAGCTGGAGTAGAAATATATTTGAGTTGAGTGAAATGTCTCTCTTGAAATACGAGAGAGTCAAGTCACAGATGGGGGGATTTTTGTTTTGAGCCAGAAATATTACTATCAGCTGTTTTTATTATTACCAATGATAAATAGCTCACATGTTAGAAATCAGCTATTCCGTGTAAAAGAAATTTTATGGGGTTTTTTTTTTACCAATAATTAGATTTATGGTTTACTGATAAGATAAATCAAACTAAAGGTGTCCGAAGCACAAAAGAAATTGATTGAAGCTTTTTTGTTCAGTTTGATTGTGACCATTAAAGGGGAAACAGCTCAATAAGTAACGACAGCCATAAATAAATATAAAACTTAACCCATAATATAAAACCATGGGAATAATATGCCAAATTCTGTTTCACAACAATACGCCTGGAGTCTTCTATGCAGGCCAAACGATTTCTGGTCAAGTGACTTTGAGTACGGATAAGTTGATTCAAATCAAAGGTAAGTGCCCAATTCAACTCAAAGTAAAGTGATTGAGATTGCTGGTGATTCATTCTTGTAAAAGTGGTTATCAACTGATAATTAAATCCCTAGCAATCAAACTTAAGGTCAAAGGTTATGCCGAGACCCATTGGACCGAAAGCAGAACTGATTCAAACAATAAGTCAACTTCAGAATCGTACAATGGGTTTGAGAAATATCTTTCCAGTAAAGTTTATCTGTTGGGATCTGAAATAAGCGCCGGTAAGATAAGTATTTTATTGTAATTATTTTTGTTAATAAATGAAATTTGGTGTTATTATCCTAGAAATGTCTTTGGAGCCCGGAACTAGATCGTACAATTTTGCCTGTCAAATTCCAATCAACTGTCCTTCCTCGTTCGAGGGGACACATGGTCGTATACTTTATATGGTGGATGTCAATATAATACAGCCCTGGAAGTACGACAGTCTCTTTTCAAGACCATTCACTGTAATTCAAGTGATGGACTTGAACACCTATGAGTCCGTTTCTCAGGTGGGTTTTTTTTATATATTTTAAGTAATAATATTTTTGTCTAGCTTTTAATATTAATGTTAAATGTTTTAAAATACCTTTATGTAGATTCCAGTGCAGGCCAGGACTGAGAAGACCTTTGGGGTCTGGCCCTTTAAATCGGATCCGCTGACTTTGGAGCTGAATTTGCCGCAGACGGGCTTTGTGCCCGGACAGACGGTTCCCGTAAATGTTTTGGTGGGCAACGAAAGTAAAATCCGGGTGTACGAAGTAAAGGTTGGCCTCTCCATGATGATCACCTACTACAGTGACCTGAGTTCGGGAACCAATAGTGAGCGAAAATCCGTGGCCAAGCTGAAGGCAGATGGTGTTATGCGGAACTCTCGGAAGATGTACGACTTCCAGCTGCTAATTCCCTCCACTCCGCCCTCCTGTTTCCATTTGTGCCGCATTATCAAGATCGGATACCAGATCGAAGTTGTGGCCAAGGTGAAGGGCATGCACATTAACGGAACTCTGGTAATGCCGGTGACTATTTGTGGAGTTCCGATAGCGCCGCAAATGGTGCAATATATACCAGAGAATTCCGGCCCCCCGGTTCCGGAGCAAAGGGCTTTGACTTTGGTTGAGGGCGATGGTGCTTGTGCTCCAGCTGCTCCGCCATATCCCTGGTCAGATGGTTCCACCTTAGGTAAGTTTCCGCTATAATAACTCTGCCTAGAAAAAGTTAATCTTCATTGAATGCATACTTACAGCACCACCTAGCTACGCTGAGGCCATGCACACCTTTACCGATCCAGAGAAGTCCAGACCAGGACAGCAGGGTTCCGAAAATGTGGATGAAAAGCACTTTAAGCCCCTTTATCCTGTCTTTAATGTGCCCACTCAGAGTGATGAAAAGGCGGAAAAAGCTGTTCTGGACAAAGAGGACAAAAAGTGAAGGAGCAGGAGAACCTTCGTATTTCAGAACAACTGGACACCCAATCCTGCGCTTGCTGATCAAGGAATCCTTGGCCTTTTCGCAGTTTATTTGTTGCCTAGCTGCATTTGGTGAAATGTATAATTCAAAATTGTGACAGCGATAAGATAAAAGTTGGCCTGGCCATCGCTACCAATATAGAACCATCGCAATGTTTGTTTCATTCTCAGTTCGTTTCTGGCAGCCAAGTGGGCATGAGGTTTTTTCGCCGCTGAGAGCTGTCCAATCCAATCTGTCCGGAGTTCTCGGAAGTTAGGGAGTAAATAACTGAACATAGGCATTAAAATCAAATCAGTCGTGTTTGCACTGGCACCAGAGGTGGATCGGCCAATAAACACACAATTACGGTTACAATTACAATTATGGCTGTTACCTGTGAAATCGACTTCGATAACAATCCCCATGGCACCTATTTTGGGGGCCAGATTCTGACTGGCAGGGTTACGCTGAAACTGGACAAGATGAAGTTGGTGAAAGGTGAGAGTTCAATGGGCACACTTTGGCAATTTGTCCATATTTCTGGCATGAGTCATGCTTATCTTATCGACGAATTTTAAAGTGCGGTTAAACGGTTTGAAACGAAGATCGAGCACAGTGACTCATTTTATTTATAATGGCGAGGGAACCACACGTGCAAAATTTAATGTCCACAAATAGGTGTTCGGTTAACGTACACAAATGCATCGAAGATAAATATTTGCGGTCGATAAGATTAAATTATTTTTAAATAATCAATGGGTTTCGCATTAATTGATATTAAATGTGGAAAGATAAATATTTGGTTTTCCCTTAAGTGTCGATATTGGCAGCGATTTTAGGTATATAAAATAAATATATTAAAAGCTGTTCCTCCTTATAATTGTTCTCGACTTAACAACAATTGACAATAATAAAATGAAATAGTGCCACGAGTAAAATAATGATTTTCAACTAATTTGACTTAAGTTAAAGGTTTTAATCTGAATTATTAAATTCTAACATTCAATGTAAATTAATTTCTGAAAAAGACAAGAACATTATAAAATGTAAGAGGTACAAAAATGTTCTTTAAAAAAAGCATTCGGTGAATAAATATTGTCCCCCTTTGAATAAATGTTTACGTACCATGTTTACCAAAATCGTGTTTATCAGCTGGGTTTTTTCTCCGCAGCCATCACCTTGAATATAACCGGTTACGCGGAGACGCGTTGGATCGAAAGGGTAACCACCAACAGGAGGAGGAGGCGTCGCACATTCTACGGCCGTGAGGATTACATTGCGTCGAAAACCTTCCTGGTTGGATCTAATCTGAGCAGTTAGTATTCAAAGAATACAATTATATCACTTGTGTCTAAATAATAAAACTATCTGCAGGCCAAGTCTCCATTGAAGCTGGCATTCACACGTACAATTTTGTGTGCCAGATTCCCACCGAATGTCCTTCATCCTTCGAGGGAACCAATGGAAGGGTGCGCTATATGACCAACGTGACTTTGGTCAGACCCTGGAAATTTGACCAGAGCTATACGCGCTGCTTTACGGTGCTCAAGGTTATGGACCTCAACTTCGACAGTCCGCTGCTAAGGGTGCATTTTTAGTTTACAAGCCTATAAATTCATTCTCCAAAAACTAATGAAATCTAATATATTTAGGTACCCGCCCACAGTGAGACCTCGAAGACCTACTGCTGCTGGCCCTGCCGCTCAGATCCGTTGGCCCTCCAACTGACCGTTCCACAGACGGGCTTTGTGCCCGGCCAGAGTATTCCCCTCAGTGTGCTGATCACCAACGATAGCCACATTCCGGTGGAACAGCTCCTCATGTCGTTTGTGATGCTGGTGACCTACCACAGCAAGCCGCCTTCGATGCCCAATACCACATCTGAGAGGTTGGTGGTCAACACTTTGAAGGGCGACTCCGTGCAGAGGAACTGCAAGAAGCTCTTCACCTACGAGATCAAGGTGCCAGCCACTCCGCCCACCTGTTTCAACCTGTGCGGCATCATCCAGATCGCCTACCAGGTGGAGGTGGAGGCCAAGGTGAAGGGTTGTCACAATAACGAGATAGTCAGCATCCCCGTGACCATTGGCAGTGTTCCTCTATCCCAACATGTGCCAATCCAACCTCGTGGGTTGATCGGTCAGCCGCTGGATGTAAATGAATTGGCTGGTGGAAATATTGCCACAGCTCCTCCTCCAAATGCTTCGAGTCCCTGGGCTGTCGATGACTCCATTCGTGAGTTACATCAAGAGTACAGATTGATATAAATATTAAATATTGACTTATCCACTTTCAGCTCCTCCCAATTACCAGGAGGCTCTTCACATGCGAAGCCCGGATGCCACCAAATCCGAAGAATTTGACGACCCGGAGCCAGTACAGCCCAATACTCTTAACCTGGACGGCAGTGCGTACAAGCCACTCTATCCGGTATTCGACATTCCCAGCCCCTCAGCCCCACCGCCATCGGATTATACACAGAATTATATGGCCGAGAGAGCCTTTGTCAATCCGGCCTTGGATGTCGATAAGGACAAGGGAACTTGGCTATGAACACAAAAATGAAACAATAGAATTTTAAGAACTACGAAGCATGTTTTGTAAACAAAGCTAAAGCTATAAATATATCACATTTAAAAATGGTACAATAAATTCCAAAGATTGGTTATCGAGAACTGATTTAATTTTGATAAACTTTGTTGTGCCTTACAAACTGGTATCAGAGTTACGAATGGCCTTGCGAGACTGAAGTTTTCAAATGAGATGTTTCTGCTTTGCTAATGGCCTTCCTAGATTTAGGTTTTCAAATGAGATGTTTCTGCTATGGTAATAGGGGCTCCTCTTATCAAAACCCCTTGAATGTGGAACATGAATGCCTGGCTCCAACTTCTCCAGGGCCAAGGTCTTAGTCCCCAACTCAGATAAGAGGCCAAGTTTATAGAACCCCCAATGCGAAGGGCACTTTTGATCGACTCTTATACAGTTGTGGCTCCGATTCCATATCGTTCCCGGAGAAACCCGATTCCGCCTTCGGCTCCAAGTGGAGGGTCTTATCGCTTATCTAACGACGCGGTCGCACCGCAAGCAGTCCAGAAGTTTTGTACTTAAATTAGTCGCCCCAGACCATCGGTTTTAGCAGTTTGCCCGCTCGGTCATTTAATCTGGGAAAAAATGGTCGTTACGTGTGAGATCAGCTTCGATAATAATAGACATGGTACTTTCTACGCCGGTCAACTTGTTAATGGCTGCGTGACCCTCAAGTGCGACAGATCCAAGGAGGTTCAAGGTACTTAATCGAAGAATGTGAAAACATAATGTAAAACCGAATCTTAAAGGTTCTCTTCATTGTTTAAAATTAACCCAACCTTACCGCGGTATTATAAATATTTTCTCGATAACGGCCCGTGTGTATATGTGCAAATTGTATATTTTTATGACGACATTGACTTTAGCGGACATTCTTCGGTGCGGAATGTGTGAAGTTGATTGATAACACCCAGCAGTAACTTTGCGTTGGTATTATTTTAATACCGAGATTAGGATAAGTGCTTTCAATAATTCCAAACTCAACCAAACCAATACATGTTTGCTTAAATTAAATATTTCCCTTTACAATTATATAACGAATATTATTTTTATTATTTTGAATACTAAATGTGAGTATAAGTAGTTTAGTTAAGATTAAAATTGGATTAATCAGTTAGTACACCCCTTAACTTTATTAGCTGATTATGTATGCTTTAAGATAATGTTTATTTCCTAACCAACTCTCTTTTCCATTTTCTCACCGTGTCGATCTTATTGCTCAGCTGTGCTACTTAAGGTGGTGGGATATTCCATAACCAAATGGACCGAGAAGAGTCTCGGATCTTCGAAGCTCTATGCGGGCCGTGAGGATTATTTATCATCCAACACTTATCTGTTGGGTTCCGAGCAAAGTGAGTACGGCCAGTAGAAACTGTGAGAGTTGTTTGCACTTATAAATATTTGTATCTCTGGAAAGACAACAACAGACACACTATCCAGGCTGGGGTGCACAACTACAACTTCGCCTGTCAGCTGCCCTATCAGTGTCCTTCGTCCTTCGAGGGCCGTCATGGCTGCATCCGGTACATAGTCAAAGTCCTGCTGGTTAGACCTTGGAAATACGATCAGGCTTATACAAAGGGCTTTACGGTTCTCAAGATGCTCGATCTGAACTTTGACACGCCTCAGCTGAGGGTAAGTTATAATCTAAAGCAATCTAGTTAATTCAATTAAAATATTTTTATATGACTACTAAATTTTGAGTCGTATACTTTTTAATATTTCTTGTAGGTACATAGGTATTTCTTGTTTTTATTTGCTTAGTTTTTTTTTTTAGTAATTAATGATGACAATAATAGTTTATTCAAGTTTATTAAAGATAAAAAAAACAGCGAAAAATATGAATTTCTTTAAAAATATCAAAAACCTCCGAAAAATTAAAAAAAATTATAATGCCATCCTTAGCATATAGTCGGCCGATCGGCTAGATATACGGTATTCAAGAAAAAATTAAATTTTCAAAGTTTGCAAAAATCTTATTCAAGTTTAAGACCAATATTATTATACCATCTGCAAGGACTTAAAAACAGCTTCATCAACGCAAACAATAACAATATTTATTTTTGCTGGTCATAAATATGAAAATATCAGATATGGATTTATTTTTAAAATCTTTCTCCCCCAGTTGGCTGCCCACAGCGAGGGTTACCGCACCTTTTGTTGCGGTCCCTGCAAGACGGATCCGCTCAAATTGGAGCTTAACCTGCCGCAAGCGGGCTATGTGCCCGGCCAGAAGATTCCGGTGACCGTGGTGGTGGTCAACAACACTGCGGTGGCCGTCTCTGAACTTCGACTTTCCCTCGTTATGCTAGTCAGATACTACAGCGTCAGTCCGGAGCACTCGCGAGTGGAACGAATTATAATATCGCGAGCCAAGGGGGACTCGGTGCTGAAAC